AGCAGTTTCAGGTTTAGAAGCAGGCAGCAGCAAGCCACCTGCAAGAGCAATGCTTTGCTTGTTCTTTTTGTTGTGCCTGTGCTTGCTCGCTTGTTTTGCAATGCTCGAAGCTGTGATTCAGAATTGTGGCAGAACTGGCCAGCCAATGGTCTGCAGGAGGCATGTCTTCCCTGGCTCCGTCTGCCCCGTCCAATGCGGCACCATCAGTTCTCGGCAAAGGTGAGGTTTCAAAAATTAGCGGAAGCATACCATGTCACGTGGCTTTTGTGGCCGAGCGGCCGATTTTGGCAGGTGACCGAGATTCCCAGGATCTGGAAATGCAGCCGCTGACAGGTCAGCTTCGTAGGATTTGTGGTTCTGCATCAGACGTGCTGTTTGCATCACGCCACAGGCCACGTCTGCACATGTGGCTGGAACAGGTGTCAATGGAGAAGAAAAGTCACCCTCCCATCCCAGCAAGCAGGCCGGGAAAGTCAGCGAAAATCGCAGTGTCTGTAAGCCAGTAACCACGCACGGTCGCAACACTAACAGGTGTAGCCTGTGTCGCGGTCGAGGGGTTGAGTTCTCGGCAAGCGTGAGGTTGCGGAGGTAGAGGGGGTTTCATTTTTTTTCGTGGCAGGTTCGGTGAAAGGGTAAAAATGCTTTGGGGAGCGGCATTGAGTGGTTTCGCAGGAAGTCACGTCCGAACAGCAGAGAAAAACAAAGCCACAATCAGCGCAGTTTCCGAGCCGGCAGAACCCTGCATGCGGCAGGCCGAGCGTCCAAAAAAGAGGCTCTATAATGCCGCATCCTCAATGCGTAATGTCACGTGCATATTCTGAAGCATGTTTGTAGGTTGAAATCCTGCTGCGATTCGAACTGTTGCAAGGTTTGGCCTTCTCGGAATAAGTTCTTCTGCAGAGGAACCATGATGACAGGCTTGGTGCGTTAGTCCGAGACAGTTTGAGGTTTGCCGATGTGAGAGTTAAATCCAGCTGAAGAGTAGTGGAACTTCGAGCTTTGGTCTGCGCAGAAAGGTGGCGAAACTGAAATGGGAATCACTCCCAATTGTTCCGTCCCGAACCTTTGCGCCAGGGCCTCCTTATTTTGGCATTCGTCAGGATGTCCATGACAGCACTGTGCAGCTTCAACCCGACATAAAGATGCTTGCCCCGAAGGGAGATTCTTTGTTTCGAAGCCTAAACCCCCAAGCCCAACAGGGGATGGTAAACGACGTCCCAGGTTTGGACCTGCATCCTGGCTCCTTGCTCTTTGTATTTCATATGGGTCCGGCCGCCCAAGAGAATGATTTTTTTTGGCTTCTTGTTTGAGTTGACAGCAGAGGTCTTCCCTCATTTGTGGCGGGAAGGCTGCTATGCACTTCCGCTGGCAACTTTGGCCGTGCCCCTGCCGCAACAGTTGCTGACAGATCGGACTTGGACAACTAGTGCAGGCTCTATATAGCTAGTCTAGTTTCAGTCTCACAAATGATCAGGTATTCTTGATGGCGACGGGTTTTCTGCTCGCCACTTGCTGTTCCGATCCTGGGATCATCCCACGCCGGGAGGTGCAGCAAGGGAGTGGCCGGAGTGGACGAAGTTCATCTCGTCCGCAGGTGGTGATCGCGACCAAAACTGCTCAACAGTTGCAGGAAAGACTTGGATATGCTGGGACCTCAGCTGCGAGGCAGGCCTTGTGTGGGCCGTTCAGGTCCTTCAATTTGGGGTTTGCCACACCATCCACTGAGTGACCTCTTGATATCTTGCCGCTGCAGGACTTGCTGGCCAGCGAGTCAGTTCCTCTAGATGGCAGGCATGCGGCATGTGTTTCACCCGGCAAGCGGGAATCTTCATGTCGCCTGGACGGGATGGCAACTTCGTGCCTTTGTCAGGGGAGGCGGACGAAACTTACCAGTGGAACTGACGAGTCCTCCTGCGAGACTTTGAAGCTGCACTAAGAGGATCTGACCCATGCACACATAAACACCCGAGCTGGCTGCCAGGTCGTGGCTACAGATGGTGCAGGACATGCCGAATCATCAGGCGATTGTCGCGTGCTATCCACGTCGAATCCAAAATATTTTTGGTAAAGTTGCATCGTGCACGCACGATGCTCGTTCTTCGGAGAGGTTTTTCAAGAGTGCAGGCCACCGCGCTCCTCTCATTGTCCCGACTGCGACAATTGCGTCTTGCGGTGCCGCCGTCGGCATCATAGCGCGAGTGTGTCACACAAAAGCTTCGTGCTTGCCTTCAAGCAGGAGCGTTGATCAGTCTTGCAGGTACGATCATCATTGCCCGTTCGTCAACAACTGCTGCTCGTTCGCAAGACCGGCCTTCTGCTCCATTTTATCTTGCTTTCTGTTGCCTTGACCCCACCTCAGAATGTGGAGTAACGGACTCAACACCATGCCGAACCCGGAACAACCAAGCACCGAGCAAGGGATGCCTTGTTTTGAGTTTAGTCGAGGTGTTGGCCAGCGCAACTATCACTTTTTCTTTGGCTTTGTGACATCTGCCATCGCCTTGGAGTGGTGTAGCACGTGGCTACCCGGGAACCTTATAGTTGGAGTTCTCGGCAAGGTGCTCTGCTTGGCCATGATGGTCTTACCGGTTCTGTGCCGTTGCCTGCAGTTAATCCATTGGTGCTTTCTGAGACGCTTTCTTCTCCGCTCGCAAGCACGGGAGCTGAGCAGCTGAGATTCTGGTTCCTGAACAGCGAGAACTTCGAGGCCCGATCGGTCTTGTGGCGTTTGCAGATAGTTGCAGATATCATGTCTGCTGGATATGCCAGTTGGCGGTGGATGGCATGATTCACGTCAGCAGCGGTGCACTTCAGCCTGTCTTCTACGCTCTCATCGCGCTGCTCAGTAAAGAGATGGAGAGGAAATATTTCTCTCGCGCTCGGCGGCTGCGCATCTTTTACAGCCGAGGCTCGGTGCGCTTGTTGGTATCGCCACACTCCTCTCTTTCGTGCTTTGGGTTCCTTGGCAAGGGAGCCGTGCTCTTCAGGTTCTGAGAGCCCTCGCCTGACCCGCACAATGAGGTGTACCATGTGTTCCTGATCGCCACGAAGAGGCCGTCATTCGTCCAAGCTGTTTCCTGAGGTGCTTGGGTGTGTGGCTATTGGGTATCATGCATTTCACCCTTCAATGCAGCTTCAGTGCCTTAGGCTCGACACGTTCATCGAATGGATCGAAGCTGTAGCCTGATATCCCGCAAATCACAAGCTATGACGTTGTCTGTATTCACAACAAGTAATACCCGGATGGCTTCACGACATTCAGCAGCAGGCCGTGTCAAAGTCTATGGGAGTCTCATCTAGCAGGAAGGATGGGTGCCGTGGCAACCTGTCAAAAAGAAAGTCCATTAGTCCTTCGTTCTTCGCCCCGTTCTTCGTCCCGACCATGCGGTCTACAGAGTCCACTTTGCAGGACAACGAAGGAGTTTCGCAGAAACCTTTCCAACATCGCGGAGGAGCGTCGAGAGTGGCAGAATCCGATTGTGAAGTCGTTTCGGAGCATTCTTTTGGTATTTTACCTTGTGATGCGCAGGAGCCCACTCTTTGTGCATCTCGGGGCCCTCGGCTCTTCGATCCTGCACCGTCCTCAGAGCCATGCCCTGTGCCTCAGTGCGGTGTGCTGTGCTGTGGTGTGCTGTGCATTTCATAGGACACGTTGGTGACAGCTTATGATGCGCTAAGTGGGCACTGGTTGATCCTCGCGACGTCATACGTGTGGACGAAGCCCCGCCTCCGACGCCGAACAACTTCTGCACGGACGAGCTGGGAGTGCAGGGAACATGACCCATCAGCAATTGCATTGCTTCCCACATGTAGGCAAACTCCCTCACTTCTTGGCAGGATTTGTGGAGCTCCTGTTTCGGAGAGGATTAGGCAGACTCGCCACACGCAAGTTTCACTCCACAGCTTGTTAGACGCTGAGTGCGGGTGGAGAGAACGAAGATTGAACGTGGAAGCTGCAAAAGTGGCGACCGTACTTCTTTTGCCCTTGACATCGCTGGAAATTCATATCTTAAATGAGACCCTCCCAGGTATGGAGGGCTTGGGCTTGTGGCATAAGGTTTAGGGACGTCGGTTTTGGGTTTGGGGTGTTGGCCTCGAATAGGGCTTAGGGTTTTAACGGCATTTTGGGCTTGGGCCTCTAGTGTCAGTGCTTCTAGGGTTCAATTTAAGGTGTGGGCTCCGGATTCGGACATCAATGCCCGAGAAGTGGAACATCTTCTGGCAGCAGCGGCGCCAGGAGAGGGTTGAAAGCATGAAGGTTTGGGGAGCAGGGTTTGCAGTTTTTGTTGGTTAGAGCACCGCGCTCCTCAAAGTACTTTAAACTTTCAACACAACCACGTGGCTGATGGAAAAGGGCCCACAACGAAAACAACAGCCACTTGAGGTTTCGGGCACTAGTCAAAGTTTGCACAGTTGGTTTCAGTGCCCAGTGAAAGAAGCAGAAACTAGACGAAAAGACTTGTGCACGTGGGTATCTCTCTTAGTATCTTTCTTGTATCGTACGTAGCCCAGTCCATGGTGTTGCTTGCAGCCCTGGGCCCTGATGTTTACGATCTTTACGGAGCTCCCACAACTCCAAACATCACGACTCGAAGCCTTGATATTGCTCGCGTCACTGGCTTCCTGCTCCGAGCTGGAATTCGAGTCGCGGAACAATCATCATCGGGTAGAGGTCCAGCATGACATCGGTGACTTAGGTGCCAGCTGCTGGACGGGGTCGCAATTTTTGTTGAGAGCAGCACGACTCTTGCTGAACGCTGTAACCCCAATTCTTGACAGACCGAGTTCACAGTTCTCAGCTTAAATGTGGGAATGGTGCAGAATCCCGAATGAGAACGAAGTGAACGAATAGCGCACAGCGTTCTTGTGGAAGTGCATGTTGGTGACCCAGAGCATTGAACATAGAGGAGTCTGACATGAAAGTCATCTGACCTGATGCCCATCATGTCTGATCGCTGGTCCATGTAGTGCTACACGCGAGCAGCTGGATTGGTGATCCGATGCGTCCACAGTTCCGCCAGCATCAGACCCTCTGATGGAAGGCAGGATTCAGGTTCTATTCAATGGTTTTGCCTCCGTCAACGCGGATGTGTTCTGTGCCACTACGACGGCTCGTGTAGGGTCTGTTGGCTGATATGAGCCATTCAATTGACAGCACTGAGGATTCCCACTCCCTGTGCCCCAAAGCGTTCAATGGATGAGGAACAGCAGCAACCTCGGAATAGGGACCGGATGCAAAGTTTCATTGGAGCCGACCAGGGAGTTTGTGTAACGTGCGGAGAAGATTCGGCTTCAGAGGCTGTGCCACCGGTTGCACAAACGACTGCGGATCGGCAGCCCAACAGCGGCACGCCAGTTGGCACACGGCCACTATTCGCAGGCTCGGCTGCGGGACAGGCTGCATTGCACTTGTGCCATGCAAGCGTTTTCGAGTCGCTAGCCAGAAGTTCGCTGAAACTCTCTGACCTCTGCTCCGGTTTGATGCTCCTCTCAATCCTACAGCAACACGGGGTGGCCGCCGTTCTCCTGGAAGCACGTGTTGTGTAAACAAACCTGCTGTCGCCACTGAGAACGAGTTTCATGGATCTATTTTGCTCTTTCTGTCTTTAAGCAGAGGCGAACAGCGTTCTGCAGCAGCTCCATGCCGAGCACCTGGCAAGGCACCTTCACCGAAATGATTGGCAAGAACATAGACATCTGTGGTAGACTATGGTATGGGAGCTTGCCTGGAGCATCGCTTACTGCTTTTGTGAAGCATGGACACCCATCCACGGTTTGCATACTCACCGCGTGCTCGAGTTGCAAATAAGGCGGCAGCAAGTGCCTCGTCCTGACACAGACACGACGATGACGATGACACAGCAGGCCTGCTGCATTCCGAGCTGCTTCGTCCAGCCCACGACCGCGATGGCGTTGCTAGACAGGCGTGGACAGCTGGTGGCAGCGTGGCTCACAGCGACTTTGCGGCGATGCAACCTGGCCGAACGCTTGGCTACAGAACATGGCTTCAGCCTCTATCAGTCGCACTTTCTGATAGCTTGAGGGCCAGGGGCCCTAGAAAATCCATCCACACCATCCGGCCTTGAAAACACCGAAGTGAAGTTATCTAGCTCTGTTCCACGGGAAATCCCAATCTTTGATTTCGTGGCAATTTCGATGGCAGAGCAAAGAGACATCTGTGCTGACTTTCAGGACTCACTTTGTGCTCAGCGACGCAACTTGCTTGCATGCGATTTGGTGATGTACTGCATGTTTATTTGTGGACTTGCGAGATCGAGATGTTCATGAATTCGTGCTGTGTGCTTGCATACGAAGAACGAAGGTTGTACAGTGCTCACACGGGGCACAGGGACGTTGTCTGCAATGCGCTGGGCGATTGGTTCAAAACGCTTGAAGCTCAATTCCTTTCATGCAGATGGGTCTGCGTGATCAAATGTGCAGATGCCTGGTGGTTTGAGATCAGGTTCCATTGCAGGTCTACAGCGATTGGTGTACAGCTTGCAGGCACGCTGCCGACTAATGTGAGTGACTGACCCAGAAGAGCATAAAATTTCCTGCGTGGATGTCACCCTCCCAGTTCACCTGCATCCTCTTCAAACACGCCGCCACCACGGCCTTGTGCTACGTCGGTGAGGTCCAGAAGCCCGGAGAATGGGAGTAAGCTTTAGCGCTCGAGCGGCCAAGACTTTGCGCAGGGAGCTGACATTTCCGGCCATGGCTGCGCTCATTGCGTGTCTCGGGCCGGAGCCGGGAGAGAGGCCATCGGGCTGTGCTTTGACTCTGCACCCGGCCATACTTGGCTGACTTGCTACCTTTCACCTCGCAGCCTTCTCTTGCCCAAACCTGAAGACATTAGCTGCCTCGCAGCAAACCAACACTGCAGACCCATGCGCAAAAAGGCTGCAGGGTCCTCGTTTTCCCATCTGTCGGGTCTGAGTATCTGCATGCTGAGCGCTGCGCAGCGAGTTACACTGGTCTCTCTAAACGACGTGTACAAGTTGGTTCCACTTACGAGCGACCTGAGCTACTACTACCTTGAAGCAGATCTGGATTATTTAGATGGCGTCGCCGCGGCAGAGTGTGACGGGACAAACTGCGTAGGTGACCTAAGCTCATGCGGACTGGGCGTGTCTTGGGAGTCATGCTTTCCTGCTCGATTCGACAAAGTAGAAAAGCTGAGCCTTTTGGAGCACACCAAAGGTGTGAATGTAGTGGCGGGTCCATGTCAAGCACAAAACAGGTCACTCAGCTACGGAGGCCTCGTGGATTTTGGGGCTACATTTCGGTGGCTCAAGGATCAGGCGACGTTTCGCGGGGACATCGCCATAGGAACGTTTGCAGGAGATTTTATCGCACCGTCGTACCTTGCGGAGATATTCAAAGGTTCTCAGTTGGTGGAGATGATGAACCTGATGGGTGTTGATTTGGCTAACATCGGAAACCACGACATCGATTTCGGGCTAGCGAACTTAAGAGCACAAATGGGAAGGTCTGCGTTTCATTATCTCAACTCGAATCTGCAGGAGGATGTGGGAAAAGAGATTCAGCAGCCAATGCGGAATTCCTTGCAGGTGAAAGGGGACACTGGTGACTACGACTTGAGCATCTGGAGACGCCTGCACCAGATCCCAGGCAGCTCAGTGGGACGAGGTTGGGCCATTTTGGCACAGGATGGCATCAAGATCTGCGTCTTGGGCACAACAGATATCGACAAGATGAACTGGGCCGGCAAAAAAGTCAATGGGTCTGTGAGGGACATTCTGGCTGCAGTCGACATTCTTCGCATGTGGAAGGCCAAACAACTGGGATGCAGCCTGCGTGTTGCTCTGACGCATACGAGAACTGGAAATGATCTAAACCTCTTCAGAGCAGTAGAGCATGCTGGGCTTCACTTGGATGCCATCGTTGGTGGCCATGATCACTACATTGCCTTCGGCAAGCTAAAGCGTCGTGATAATGGAACAACTTTTTTGGTCAAAGCCGGGGCGGATGCACGCATTGTCGCCAGTCTGCAGTTTGACCTGTCGAAGGAGAGTTTACCTGAAGGCAGTTTGTCCGTGGTGCCTGTCGTGGCATGTGCGAGGAGAGACTCGGGCAGATCTTGGCTAGACAGGGCTCAGAAGTTGTTTGTAAAATATGCAGCAAAAGCCGACGAGGCGGATTCACGACCCCTTCACGTCACGTACCAGGGACTCTATGACACCAGCTCGGTCAGGGACAAGGAGTCAAGGGCTGTCAATATGTGGCTAGACCTGATGCGCGAGAGCATCGCTGCGGAAGTTCTATTCTTCCAGGCCGGCTTGATCCGGCAAGATATGCGTCAGGTGTTTGAGCGACAACCTTTGAGTCATTTGTTCCTTCTCGAAGAGTTTCCTTGGGCGGACGCGGATGCGGACGCACGAAGCAGCTTGTTCCCCTTCCAGATCACCCTGTCAGACCTGGTGCTCACAACTTTGCCGTTTTTGGCAAGGCGGTACTGGTGCAAGGCGCCGTTCAATGATGCCAACCGGGTGCATGTGTCTGGGTTTGTCATAGAGATGACAAATGAAGACTCGTGTGATGCCGCGGGCCAAAATCCGATAATTTCTGCCACTTTCGTTGGCGGTTGCCATCGTGCTGGTGCCCTGCTTCCGGTGGATTCAGGTTGCTGCACATCCTCTCTTTGTGGACGTGTTTGGTCGGATGGGGCCTGGGATGCAAGGGTGACTGCAGGTATGAAGAGCCATCAGCTGAGTGTGGCAACTGGCCAGTTCTGCGTACCTTCGAAATATGGCAGCCATGGTGAAGGCTTCCATGCCGTGGGCATGTTGTGCAGAGATGCGGAACCGGCGGACAATTGGGGCTCGGGACGCGAGTTTACCAAGCACTTTGGACGGGGTTCGGTGCAGGTCAGTAAGGAACAATCCCTGTTGCCGGCCGCGAATGCATCAAGCTTTCTGCGATTGGGATTTTTTTTCAAGCCTGCCATGATGGCCATGCTGCAGCCGCAGCATACAGACGAACTGGTATGTGCTCAAGGTCCACAAAGCCAGCAGTGTGACGACATGTTTCTTGGCACTGTCACCAGCATTTCTTTCGGACAAGTTGGAGTTTGTTTTGGAGGAACGTGTTCTTTGGTTACGACGTGGGGGCGTGTTGCATGATGTTCTTAAAGGCGGCACATCTACTCTGCGCAGACGTTCACATATCACTGCAAGTGCCAGCTGAGGCCAGGGTCGTGTCTTGACAAACCCAGCTGCTGTCTAAATGCACGCCCTGTGTCAAAACAAATATGCTCCGAAAGGCAGGGTGCAGAATGCACGGCAGAATGGTGGCTTGGCTGCCCGAAGTGGGACCGAGACGGTTGCTGAGGGGCAATGGGGCTTTTCCAAGGACAGACAACCCATATCCGCGCTTTTATTCTGCGTGTCTTGGCAGTGATATAAGGGAACGAAAGATCGAGGTGGCAGTGATGCAGCCAGTAACCAGTACAGCCAATCAGATAATCAAACTTCGACTTGATGGTTCAGAATCTTGTTTGCTCCCTTCGAACCTCGCCACGGACATTAAAGCATGCTACGTCGCCAAGGGGCGTCCCAGGGTGTGATGTGTGGGTTGCGGTGGTTCTTTTGGAGGCCGGCAGACGCTTTTCCCTCGAGATCCTGTGGAATTTCTGAGTGTGAGCATAGCAGCTAGGAGCGGTTAAAGTCACTGCCGCAGTTGCAGAAGTCGGGCACAGCTTTTGGTCTTCGTGCACGCATGATAACATGGCGTGTTTCAGACAGCATTTGCAATGTCAAAGAAGCGGCACACCTTCACCAAGGCAGGCGTGACAGCACGCCGCCATTTTTTCGAGGGGAGGTGGTGCGTGTAGGAGGTCCAAGCTCTCACCACATGGAACGTTACCTGGCTGACCGCGCGTACATTGCCATGTGTATTGTCAGTCACCAGCAGTGCTGTGTGTGATTTGTAGTGTTGGTATCAGGATGCCTGCCGGATCCGGGAAGTGATGACCTCCTGTTGTGTATTGCGAAAAGATGCACGAATCATCCGACTTTGCAGTCTACGGCGGTCGCACAATGCTTCAGTTCAGTCGTCGCAGTCGTCGCCTTTTGCCACTCCCCGGGCTGCCACAGGCTGTTGCACTTGAGCAGTGGTGTTGCACGGGTGGTGGCGGCCTGGGCTCTCCTCGTACCGCGAGGTGGGCAGCTTTCACCATGGGAGAGCGAACTTTAAGGATGCTGTTCAGGAATGGCCTGTGGAATCGAGCGCTGTGCAGCGCACCATGAAGCTGCGGTGACCGCGGTGGAGAAAATGGACCCGGAGGTCGCTGTTCTGTTCGTTAGTGTCCGCTAGCTGCTAGTCTCAGCGTCTCAGCTAGTTGCAGGTTCAGAGCCGGGTGTTGCTCCACAATGGCAACCTTCTGGATTCGCAGAATGACTGGCATCAGGCCGAAGAGCCGGACCTCTCACAACATTATGGAAGCGATTCTCGTGAGAACCTCAGGCCAGCACCATCCTCGTCAGCGGCGACGCTTTGGAGGATTCCCACGTGGCAAGGGTGACCACTGGCCTGGAAAGGACATTGGCTCTGAGACTGAAGAGGAGCTTAGAGCAGCGTCTCCCAACCAGGACACAGCCAGGAACACGCATCGCCTCGATTGGCAGACCGCTGGGTGATCCAAATGGACCCCTTGGTCTGCAGTTTGTTCGGCAGGTGCTGTGCTCTTTCGGATCACCGGAGCCGCGACACGGCCCCCTGCCAGGTTGTCTACCGCACAGTCGGCTCGGGGAATGCGAACCTCGGCAGCAAGTCGAGGGGCACACCTTTGAGACTATGGGGCCGAATGTCGGAAGCCAAGGCCCGTATTCATCTACCGCAAACCCGGTCTCTGAGAAAGGACCTTGTGTGTTTCACCCCGTAAAGATAGGCTGCTGGGCATCCGAGCCTCGATGAAAGCTTGAAGCAGAAGAGATTTCTGGAATCGTCTAGCTCCGATGCACGGCTCTGCACTACCGTGCGAAAGTTAACGTGCATGCCCGCCAGGCAGCGATCAAAAAAGGGTTTCACAGAATTCCGCAGACTGCAGTTCGATCGCTACATCGAGCATTGCATGTCGTACCTCAATGTGCAAGTTTCAGGTTTTGGGGGTTCAAGCCAGTCATCCACAGTTGAAGCAATTCCTTTCCAGAGCCATGGTCGGCGACTCAACAGGTTGTTTCCGAATCAGAGCAGGGAGTTTCACTCTTGATTCTGTTGATTCTGGCTAGCCAGGCCCGACGTTCCAACGGCCTAGGGGCCTTGTTGCTTTTCACAGCCGTCTACATGGTCTTGCAGTGACCTCTGACATGCAGCGGATACAGGCGAATCTCAGAATTCCTTGCTGTGCTGAGGGACCTGTGGACCTCGACTGGCGCCCTGCCACGCGATTTGGCGCTGGCAGTGGCAGATGATGCGCCCCCGGAGGACGCCAGCGCCTTCTTCACCAAGGCTGGGATTTTCATTGGGGCCGGGAGATCGTCCATGAGTGTGCCCCTGAGGTTTTCGCAGCCGCCGCACAGGGATGCACGGCCGGACTCTGATATGGGCAGCTTGAGATCAGTTCAGCGGATCAGCGGACCACAGCTGTACAGCAGGCCGCCCTCGTTGCTGCCATCCTGTCCGCCATGTGCGAGCCGCTTGCCACTGGCCCAGCACGCGGCACGAGCCGGTCCGTCCTCACGCGTCCCCGGACGGATCCAGTACCTAGAGTCCCAGGTGAACCGCCTGCTGGTGAAGCGAATGACAGTCGCGCAGGCTCCGTACTGGTGGCTGATCCCGTTGCCGCGCCAGTTGTCTTGGACAAACTGTGGCAACTTCGACAGGCCTACAGTGAAGTGACCTTCAGCCTCGTTGCCAACTTCTTCCTCACCACCTTCCCGACGAACATGCGCCCATGCTGCAACTCCATCCGCTCCCACTGGCCATTCACGTGTTGCCCGCTCTGGGCTTGCACCGCTAGAACCTTGAGGCTGAAGTTCCCGGTCTTCGAGATCATCAATAGGGCCATGATGTTCACAGACCTGTCGCCGGGAGTCAGTGCGGTGCCCGGTGGCTGCTCAGACCTTGCGTGTGATGGATCAATGGCTTTCTCAGGCGGCTTGATCAGTGGATGGTTGTTCTGCACCATCATGCTCCCGGTCTCTAGCTCAGACCCAAAGCCTCGCCACAACTCTTTCCAAGGCGATTTTGTACAGCCGACAGGTGACCAACTACCGCTTCCGCAAGAGCATGGGGTGGGAGATCAAGGCCTCGCTGCTGTACCAAGCGTATGTGCCTCGGCTCGAAGTACCGTCTCTGACTTGCAACGCTCATGCCTGCCTCGGCCTGCCCGTGCTCGTTCCTGTGGCAAGATCCCGACCGTCGCCCGCGACATCATCTATGGCTGGGCTCGTGGACTGGCCAACACCTACCTGCAGGACACCATTGCCCCGACCACCTTCACCCACAAGGCCCCAGGATCGTAGGATCGCCGAGAGGAGATACCTCGAGTGCTTCTGTTCTGTGTCCTGTCGGGACAAGGCCATGGTCTTCGGCCTGACCATCTGGGTCTCGTGCAGCTCTGCTGCACAGCTGGGTCAACATGGTGAGGCCTGCAGTCACCCAAGCCTTGGCTGTGGCATGCGCCAGGCATCATCTCATCCCCTTGCAACGAGTGGCGAGGGTACACTCTGCAGCCCCCAGACAAGAAGCCACTTGTCCGCAGAGCTCTTCAGAGCTCCGCAGCTTCACAGGGACGGAGCCTGCACCGGCGCCACTTCTTCCTCTGGCACTCTGCCAGGCTGCCTTTCAACATCTACTTCAAGCCCATCAACTATGCTCGATCCACAGGACAGAGAGCAGAGAAGCTAGAGAGCGAGTGTTCCGAAAGCGTGTGGACCGCGAAGCAACACCCAACCCTGCCATCCAATCAACCCGTAAGCTGTAAATCCTTCAGAGTGGCCTTCCACAAACCCCTTTTAGAACCCCTGATTACTAAAGTCCTCCGAAATGCTTCTCCTTCTATTGATCTTGCTGCAGAGCCTTAAATGAACCCTAAACCCTTCACTTGTATCACCCTTAGAAATCCCTTCCAAATGTCCTTTTAAGAGAGCCTTTGCTCGTGCTTTCCTCAATGCTCTGACGGGGGTTCTACTGGCGAGCGAGATTCACAGATATGATCCACAGGTGGCGATGGGGTTCAATGCATATCACATCGAGGTACAAGTCAACACACGCAGCGCCAGGACCGATCGCGTCCACTGACAGGATTGCCATCTCAGCGCCAATTGAAGCCCACACATCGGAGAATTGGTCGCGCTTGCCGGAGGACGTGGTCACGCCGCAGTCACCGTTCGGGTTTTCACTTCCGAACGCGAGTCTTCGCGGCACATGCAGCGCCCCATTTGGCGCGGTTAGACTGTTTCCTCTCAAGCACTGGCAGGTGGCCAACGTCTCTTCCTCATGTACCGCAAATCGTCACGGCACCGCATGCACAACGCGACTTCGTGCGACCAAAATTCTTCTCATGTACTGGTGGATCACGGCCGAGATACTTCCCCATGCACTGGCGCAGCAACATGTTTCCCCAGAGTTCTGACAGGATTCAACCAATGTGGTCTGAAGCCAACGTGGCACCACACGCACCGCTCGGACAAGCCGGCAGCACCGATAGGGTTTCATTCTGAGACCATCATGAGGCCAAAGTATTGGAATTCACAGTAGACCGCGCTAACCGGGAGAGGGTTCTCGTTTCCAAACCAGCAAGAAAACCAATGTATTGGAAGTTGCAGTTGATCGTGTCCGTGGAGAGGGTTGTAATTTCACAGAACATGAGGCCGATCTATTGGAATTCAAGGTGGTTCGCTTGCGAACAGGCGGCATCCACGGACAAGGCTGTCAATCTCGAACACGAACTGTCCAGGGCCCCCCCTGTGCGGCCCCATCTCGCGTGAGCGAATTCTTGCGCGCGGAAAGGGTCGTTGTATCCGAGGACGAATCGTCACGGCGTGCCATTTTACGATTCGGCGAGCCCTGCCCCTAAGGGCCAACCAATAACCAACCTGACGAACGCCTGTGGGCCAAACTCTTGCAGACCTGATATCGTGCCGGGCAACCTCACGACAGCGTAATATGAGATTGTCCACAACACATCATCTAATTTTCATGCCATCCGACCTTCAAGGAGAAACTCAGGTCTGCAGCGAAGTGATGTTGAGATTGGCTGGCCCTTGAGCAGGAATCGGCTCCTCCATCATGGGCATTGCCCTGATGTTTGGCATGCTGGTTACACCTTACGCCGAGGATGCTTTCGCGTGCCTCGGCTAATGCAGCAGCTACGTGCAGAGGCCGGAGCGTCTTTGAGAAAGTTCTCCTCCATGTCCACAGCTGCTCTTTCCAAGGTACATGAAGGAGCACACGGCCCTGGCTCTGGGCATCGTTGCTGTGCTCATCGTCGCGATCGTTATGGCCACCAAGCAGCTGGGATGCAGCACAGCGCATGTGTATCAGCATTCAAAGGAACCGCGAACTCTATGGAACTCTGGCTTTGCACATCTCGACCGAGGTAGACGCATGGGGAGTCCACGAAGTGCACAGTCCCCAACCTACATGCTTGGTGCCAAGCTCTACCATGCCGGGTGCTGTGTAGCTGCAGGCATCGTCACAATCGTGACGAGAACTTTGCATGTTCATGAGACTCGCAGGCGCAACGTCCGTTCGGGACGTGATGCAGTTTTCTGAGCGCGAAACCGGGTATCGAGTTTTCCACAGGAAAAAGTGCTCGGTGTGATTGGAGTGCGAATCGTTTGTTTGTGCGTAGCACCGGGCAAGGATACAGCTGTTCTGCTGGTCATCTTGGCTCATGGCAAGGGGATTATAGTTGCCATCGAGAATTCCACAAACTCAGCCATGGCGCCTCAGCCAAACTTGAAGTTGGAGAGACTCAGAGCTCAGAGTGCGAAGAAGCTTTCACATGTGAGGCTGCCCGTCGTTCCAACGGTCTCGGACCCGTGGTGCTGTTTGCAGCCGCGTGTTGGCTGGTGCCGCTTGGCTCCGCATAATCGTCCACGTTCGACCGCTGCTCTCAGAATTCCTTGCTGTGCTGAGGGACCTGTGGACCTCGACTGGCGCCCTGCCACGCGATTTGGCGCTGGCAGTGGCAGATGATGCGCCCCCGGAGGACGCCAGCGCCTTCTTCACCAAGGCTGGGATTTTCATTGGGGCCGGGAGATCGTCCATGAGTGTGCCCCTGAGGTTTTCGCAGCCGCCGCACAGGGATGCACGGCCGGACTCTGATATGGGCAGCTTGAGATCAGTTCAGCGGATCAGCGGATCACAGCTGTACAGCAGGCCGCCCTCGTTGCTGCCATCCTGTCCGCCATGTGCGAGCCGCTTGCCACTGGCCCAGCACGCGGCACGAGCCGGTCCGTCCTCACGCGTCCCCGGACGGATCCAGTACCTAGAGTCCCAGGTGAACCGCCTGCTGGTGAAGCGAATGACAGTCGCGCAGGCTCCGTACTGGTGGCTGATCCCGTTGCCGCGCCAGTTGTCTTGGACAAACTGTGGCAACTTCGACAGGCCTACAGTGAAGTGACCTTCAGCCTCGTTGCCAACTTCTTCCTCACCACCTTCCCGACGAACATGCGCCCATGCTGCAACTCCATCCGCTCCCACTGGCCATTCACGTGTTGCCCGCTCTGGGCTTGCACCGCTAGAACCTTGAGGCTGAAGTTCCCGGTCTTCGAGATCATCAATAGGGCCATGATGTTCACAGACCTGTCGCCGGGAGTCAGTGCGGTGCCCGGTGGCTGCTCAGACCTTGCGTGTGATGGATCAATGGCTTTCTCAGGCGGCTTGATCAGTGGATGGTTGTTCTGCACCATCATGCTCCCGGTCTCTAGCTCAGACCCAAAGCCTCGCCACAACTCTTTCCAAGGCGATTTTGTACAGCCGACAGGTGACCAACTACCGCTTCCGCAAGAGCATGGGGTGGGAGATCAAGGCCTCGCTGCTGTACCAAGCGTATGTGCCTCGGCTCGAAGTACCGTCTCTGACTTGCAACGCTCATGCCTGCCTCGGCCTGCCCGTGCTCGTTCCTGTGGCAAGATCCCGACCGTCGCCCGCGACATCATCTATGGCTGGGCTCGTGGACTGGCCAACACCTACCTGCAGGACACCATTGCCCCGACCACCTTCACCCACAAGGCCCCAGGATCGTAGGATCGCCGAGAGGAGATACCTCGAGTGCTTCTGTTCTGTGTCCTGTCGGGACAAGGCCATGGTCTTCGGCCTGACCATCTGGGTCTCGTGCAGCTCTGCTGCACAGCTGGGTCAACATGGTGAGGCCTGCAGTCACCCAAGCCTTGGCTGTGGCATGCGCCAGGCATCATCTCATCCCCTTGCAACGAGTGGCGAGGGTACACTCTGCAGCCCCCAGACAAGAAGCCACTTGTCCGCAGAGCTCCGCAGAGCTCCAGCGCTTCACAGGGACGGAGCCTGCACCGGCGCCACTGCTTCCTCTGGCACTCTGCCAGGCTGCCTTTCAACATCTACTTCAAGCCCATCAACTATGCTCGATCCACAGGACAGAGCAGGGCAAACACCAACGAAACTAACTGCCAGGGTCTGTCTGTGGGGAAGCCTCAGCGAAATAATGTTGAGATTGGCTGGCCCTTGAGCAGGAATCGGCTCCTCCATCATGGGCATTGCCCTGATGTTTGGCATGCTGGTTACACCTTACGCCGAGGATGCTTTCGCGTGCCTCGGCTAATGCAGCAGCTGCGTGCAGAGGCCGGAGCGTCTTTGAGAAAGTTCTCCTCCATGTCCACAGCTGCTCTTTCCAAGGTACATGAAGGAGCACACGGCCCTGGCTCTGGGCATCGTTGCTGTGCTCATCGTCGCGATCGTTATGGCCACCAAGCAGCTGGGATGCAGCACAGCGCATGTGTGTCAGCATTCAAAGGAACCGCGAACTCTATGGAACTCTGGCTTTGCACATCTCGACCGAGGTAGACGCATGGGGAGTCCACGAAGTGCACAGTCCCCAACCTACATGCTTGGTGCCAAGCTCTACCATGCCGGGTGCTGTGTAGCATGCCTGCAGGCATCGTCACAATCGTGACGAGAACTTTGCATGTTCATGAGACTCGCAGGCGCAACGTCCGTTCGGGACGTGATGCAGTTTTCTGAGCGCGAAACCGGGTATCGAGTTTTCCACAGGAAAAAGTGCTCGGTGTGATTGGAGTGCGAATCGTTTGTTTGTGCGTAGCACCGGGCAAGGATACAGCTGTTCTGCTGGTCATCTTGGCTCATGGCAAGGGGATTATAGTTGCCATCGAGAATTCCACAAACTCAGCCATGGCGCCTCAGCCAAACTTGAAGTTGGAGAGACTCGGAGCTCAGAGTGCAAAGAAGCTTTCACATGTGAGGCTGCCCGTCGTTCCAACGGTCTCGGACCCGTGGTGCTGTTTGCAGCCGCGTGTTGGCTGGTGCCGCTTGGCTCCGCATAATCGTCCACGTTCGACCGCTGCTCTCAGAATTCCTTGCTGTGCTGAGGGACCTGTGGACCTCGACTGGCGCCCTGCCACGCGATTTGGCGCTGGCAGTGGCAGATGATGCGCCCCCAGAGGACGCCAGCGCCTTCTTCACCAAGGCTGGGATTTTCATTGGGGCCGGGAGATCGTCCATGAGTGTGCCCCTGAGGTTTTCGCAGCCGCCGCACAGGGATGCACGGCCGGACTCTGATATGGGCAGCTTGAGATCAGTTCAGCGGATCAGCGGATCACAGCTGTACAGCAGGCCGCCCTCGTTGCTGCCATCCTGTCCGCCATGTGCGAGCCGCTTGCCACTGGCCCAGCACGCGGCACGAGCCGGTCCGTGCTCACGCGTCCCCGGACGGATCCAGTACCTAGAGTCCCAGGTGAACCGCCTGCTGGTGAAGCGAATGACAGTCGCGCAGGCTCCGTACTGGTGGCTGCTCCCGTTGCCGCGCCAGTTGTCTTGGACAAACTGTGGCAACTTCGACAGGCCTACAGTGAAGTGACCTTCAGCCTCGTTGCCAACTTCTTCCTCACCACCTTCCCGACGAACATGCGCCCATGCTGCAACTCCATCCGCTCCCACTGGCCATTCACGTGTTGCCCGCTCTGGGCTTGCACCGCTAGAACCTTGAGGCTGAAGTTCCCGGTCTTCGAGATCATCAATAGGGCCATGATGTTCACAGACCTGTCGCCGGGAGTCAGTGCGGTGCCCGGTGGCTGCTCAGACCTTGCGTGTGATGGATCAATGGCTTTCTCAGGCGGCTTGATCAGTGGATGGTTGTTCTGCACCATCATGCTCCCGGTCTCTAGCTCAGACCCAAAGCCTCGCCACAACTCTTTCCAAGGCGATTTTGTACAGCCGACAGGTGACCAACTACCGCTTCCGCAAGAGCATGGGGTGGGAGATCAAGGCCTCGCTGCTGTACCAAGCGTATGTGCCTCGGCTCGAAGTACCGTCTCTGACTTGCAACGCTCATGCCTGCCTCGGCCTGCCCGTGCTCGTTCCTGTGGCAAGATCCCGACCGTCGCCCGCGACATCATCTATGGCTGGGCTCGTGGACTGGCCAACACCTACCTGCAGGACACCATTGCCCCGACCACCTTCACCCACAAGGCCCCAGGATCGTAGGATCGTCGTAGGATCGTCGAGAGGAGATACCTCGAGTGCTTCTGTTCGGTGTCCTGTCGGGACAAGGCCATGGTCTTCGGCCTGACCATCTGGGTCTCCTGCAGCTCTGCTGCACAGCTGGGTCAACATGGTGAGGCCTGCAGTCACCCAAGCCTTGGCTGTGGCATGCGCCAGGCATCATCTCATCCCCTTGCAACGAGTGGCGAGGGTACACTCTGCAGCCCCCAGACAAGAAGCCACTTGTCCGCAGAGCTCCGCAGAGCTCCGCAGCTTCACAGGGACGGAGCCTGCACCGGCGCCACTGCTTCCTCTGGCACTCTGCCAGGCTGCCTTTCAACATCTACTTCAAGCCCATCAACTATGCTCGATCCACAGGACAGAGCAGGGCAAACACCAACGAAACTAACTGCCACGGTCTGTCTGTGGGGAAGCCTCAGCGAAATAATGTTGAGATTGGCTGGCCCTTGAGCAGGAATCGGCTCCTCCATCATGGGCATTGCCCTGATGTTTGGCATGCTGGTTACACCTTACGCCGAGGATGCTTTCGCGTGCCTCGGCTAATGCAGCAGCTGCGTGCAGAGGCCGGAGCGTCTTTGAGAAAGTTCTCCTCCATGTCCACAGCTGCTCTTTCCAAGGTACATGAAGGAGCACACGGCCCTGGCTCTGGGCATCGTTGCTGTGCTCATCGTCGCGATCGTTATGGCCACCAAGCAGCTGGGATGCAGTCGCGGAGCGACGGCGCAAAGCTCGAGCAACACCCCCGTCGAATCCTGTCAGGTAAACTACTTATGGATGAGGATGGCCAGACAAAGCTTGCATCTGGCAACCTCTGAGCGGTATTCCCAGGCATGGAGAAAGAATCCCGCCACTCCGTATCGCTGCAAAAGCAGCTTTTATACTGCATTTGCATTTTTCGATCTGATTTTCGACTGTGTTAAAACCCGACCGTGCAGTTGAGACAAAGAGACGAACGCGTATGTACCATGTGTGTTGCTGTCCTGCTTGTGATTTTTGCATGCGCACATTGCGCTCTTGACCCATCGATCGCCAATCGGAACCGCAGTTGATTTTGATTGCCCTTTGAAGCCGCCACCGACCCTTCTCTGCGAATCACAATGGAAGCTGGTTTGCATATGGGATCAGATCGTGTGACCATGCCGTGCATGTCTGAGCTTAAGCAATTGGATGTGTACGAGGCGCGCCAAAGCCGCACTCGATCGACGGCTGTTGTTCTTGCCTTGGCGTGTGGCCTGCTGTGGCTTGGCGCCGTCTTGGCAAGATCAAGGTGACCAGGTGGCAGTCCTTCGCAGCTACGATTTTGCCTTGAGGTGGAATGCAGGCGCTCCACAGGGGTTCGCCAGCCCCTCCGTCTCCGTGCAGCACCAGAGCTCCACCGCTCTTACCCAGTCTTCCAGCAGGACGGTTTGATGAAGGGATCCCGAGCACATGCCACCAGAATCGTAAGAACAGCAGGACCGGGATGGTGGGCGCTCTGCGTGAGCAGTCGCGCGACTCGTCTGCCGTGGCAACAGCCGCTGCAGCAGCAGCGCCCAACTTCTTTAGCAAGGCCTGTGGAGTTCAAGAGTAGCCACAGCCAGGCGGCAACGAGCAAGCTTGGGCACATGCAAGGCATTAGCAGGTCAAGCTTACCTGAAGTTCGGGTGGAGAAATCCGTCTGGCATAATCAGCAGCTGCAACATGTTTGTTTGATCCTGGAGGTTTTTGCTGCCGGTGCTCAGGGCGCCACAGTGCCACGGCTGCAGTGTATATCAGATCAGGAGACACTCAGCTTCAGCAGGAGGGGGCTGGCCCTCCATGCGTGGGTGTCGCGGTGCCTGACTTGAAGCACCCTTGAGGCCGCATTCGTGGCGGCAATTCTCTCTGCCATTTGCGAGCCGCTCGCGACTTGGCCCACATGGAGGCTTTGAGGCACACTCTGAAAGGCCCTTGCTTCCACTATCCTGCAGATCTGCAGGTGAACCGCCTGTTGGTGAAGCGAATGACGATCTCCGAGGCCAGGCGGCGAAGTTGTGCAGGCTTCACCTCCATCCTACCACGAAAGCGGAGGGCACAACCGTGCATAGCAGGCGTTGAAGGAGATGAACTTCAAGCTCATCTCCAACTTCTTCCTGACTACCTTCCCCACGAACATGTGCCTTGCCTGCCCTTTTAGCGGAAGAAAGAAACAGGAAGAGCTCCCTCTGCCCAGCGAGTTGACAATAATGGCGCAGATCGCACATCAAAGTAGAACTTGCTCCGTGAGGTTGAAGTTCCCTGTCTTCGAGATCATCAACATGGCCATGACCTTCACTGCCTTCAGCCCTGGCATGAGTACCTAGGCTGACAATGAGCGTGTGCAGACGAGGAAGCAAGGCTTTTGAGGAAAGCGTTGCAGCATGCGCACCGATGATCACCGTTTCAGTGAGGCGGCACCATTAGCGGATTCCTGTTCTGCACTGCCATGCTGCCAGCCCGGGGCTTTGCCTGTTACTAGTAGCAACGGGAGCTATGCACAGCTGGTTGGTGCTTGAGGTGACGAACTACCGCTTCCGCAAGAGCATGGGATGGGAGATCAAGCCGGCACTGTTGTACCAGGCCTACGTCCCTGCCTCAGAGTGTTTTACGTGGGAACGCATCGGGGGGAGACGTGCCTTTACAGCTAGATGGTGCTGGATGGTTCTTGTGCCGAGGTGCCCACCGTTGTGCGCGACATCCTGTACGGTTGGGCGCGTGGCTTCGTGGCGGTCGCCCTGTCAGCAGTGTGGAAGCCCCAGACATTCGTGCAGGAGGCCAGGCTCGTCTGTGGTGATGTTTGCCTGGCACGGCTGGGCTTTGTTTCTCGGGAGGCCTTCGTGTTCGCCTTCGTGATCTGGGCAGCATGTAGCCTGACAGCAAGATCAGAGAAGACGGGATGGCAGACGGAGTCGATGGCAGGGGCATGGGGTGTGGCAGTTTCCCGGTGACGTCGTTTGACACATGTGTGGTCAAGCACTGCCCAGGCATCATCTCCTCGCCCTGCAACGAGTGGCGTGGATACACTCTGCAGCCCAAGGACAAGAAGAAGCCCAGCCGCAAGTAGATGCAAGGTGCTGTGCGACTAAGTGTTTCTTGGGGTTTGCATGCAGACGAAGTGAGGCTGTCCTTCGGTGAGTATTTCAAGCCCATCAACTATGCTCGTTCCACGGGTCCCGTGGCTGCACTGGCAAAGGCATAAGCGACACAGCCGGGAGGTCCCAACGCTGATGTCATTGATTTGCGTGGAAGGCATTGGTGCAACCATCATGGGCATTTCGCTCTTCGTTGGCCGCCTGGTCACCCCCTTCGCGGAGACCGCCTTCGCGTGCGCTGGCTGCATGTCTGCCTTTCTTGCTCGGTCTGCGACAGGAGCGCTTGCCAGGTACCTGAAGGGACACCCCGTCGCCGGAGTGGCTGCCCTGGCCATCCTGGTGGGAGGCTTCAAGCTGATCGCCGGAGGGCCCCTCGGCTGCACCGCCTCCTTGAAGTCTCATCCTGGTGCCGACCCCCTGCGCCAGGGAGGAGGAGAAGGAGGAGGAGAAGTAAGCGCACCGCCTCGGAACGTTCGGACGTTCTCAGCGCTGGGCAACTAAGAACGTCAGGCGGATAAGAGATGTAGCGTGGCACCGCACACAGTTCGAGGCCAATTCTTTAGTCCATGATTTTCCAGTGCGAGGCACATCCAGCCTCACTGCAGAAGCAGTGCATAGCTGGCATCAGGTAGAATCTACCGCTTCAGACAGGTCTCACCGGCGGTCCTCCTTGTTGCAGTTGTTTTTTACAGTCCCAGAACTGGAGCTGGTTGTTGGGTTGCCGCCGATGCTGCCGAGGTAGCTAAACTTAGCGATAATGTATACAACGGCATGAGAAAATTGCGCTGGATTGCTTGAAGTGCGCTTCGAGGCTTAGACGGCGGTGTAGGCCCGAGGCATGTGGCACATTCATAACTACAGAAAGAAGTTTGCTATCTGAGATTTGATTGGAGATTCGAGAGGGTTCATGGTTTGGAGCTGGACATAGAGCTGTAATCCATGAAGCAGCAAGCATCGTGGCATCGTGAGCCCAGATCCTGCCAAGGTTGCTACAAATGCATATAAGTCATATAAGCCAAAGAAACAAGCAGGCGTACGGTAGAGCCAGAGTGGACTGTGACGGCAGCATTAATGGGTTTGAATGATTTCGAGACTTCCGAGAGCGTGTACAACCCTGCCAAACACAAAGCCATCCATAGGACTGTCTCAGAATGCTACTTGGCAAGAACGTTTCGCGTGCGAAGGTAGCTGCTGTACTCATCATTACTCTTTGCTCTCGCCCCTGAACCACAGTGTGATTGTTCATTGGTGCTCTTGTCTTGAAGTCAATTGGAATCTACCGGTCGTTTTTGCTCATATTCGCCTGCTGAAGAAGGAGAAGACTTTGCCCAGCAGCGCGTTGGAGTCGTCGGTCGACGTGTGCTTGTTTGTGCGGAACGAATTGGTTCCAGAGCCAAAAGCACGAGTGCCCGCAAGCTGCCAAGAGCCGGTAACGATGGAGACTTTGCTGCACCCAGCTGTCTTGCAGTCTCCGAATGGTTTCCGGGCTGCAGTGTAGTTATTGCAAGCTGTTCATACGATTGCATGGAGGTGAGAGCTCCTGGCATCGGTTGGCTAAGGTGTGTCGTAGATCCTAGTCCCCTAGGCATCAAAAAGAGCTTTGCAGCCGAGGCCCGTCAGAGCCAGATCCGTCGGCGTTCCCCTCTCCTGGCCGCCCTGGCGACCGGCCTTGTGTGTCTTGGATGGCGAAGTAAGGGGCGCATGCATGGTGGCCACGATGTAAGTCTGCACTTTACCGCTACTAGTACGAACAGGTGGGGATCTTGCCAATGGACTTTCGCCAGCCCATCAGCCGGTGTTCAGCATGAGAGCTCGACCGCCTTGACGAGATCTTCTGGGGCAAGGACGGGGTGTGGCTTATCTGGGGCGCCATCAGTGCAGTTGCTCCCAGGACAGCTTGGGCGACGGGAAGCCTGCCCCGTGACCATTCCTCCGTTACAACGGCAGCAGCAGCCGCGGCAGCCCCCAACTTCTTCAGCAAGGTGCCGTATAGCCCATGGGGTCAGGTTTGCGTCAAAGCCAGCCTTCTCAGCAGCAAGCCAGGTTTTTGCTGCCGGTGCTCAGGGCGCCACAGTGCCACGGCTGCAGTGTATATCAGATCAGGAGACACTCAGCTTCAGCAGGAGGGGGCTGGCCCTCCATGCGTGGGTGTCGCGGTGCCTGACGTGAAGCACCCTTGAGGCCGCATTCGTGGCGGCAATTCTCTCTGCCATTTGCGAGCCGCTCGCGACTTGGCCCACATGGAGGCTTTGAGGCACACTCTGACAGGCCCCTTGCTTCCACTATCCTGCAGATCTGCAGGTGAACCGCCTGTTGGTGAAGCGAATGACGATCTCCGAGGCCAGGCGGCGAAGTTGTGCAGGCTTCACCTCCATCCTACCACGAAAGCGGAGGGCACAACCGTGCATAGCAGGCGTTGAAGGAGATGAACTTCAAGCTCATCTCCAACTTCTTCCTGACTACCTTCCCCACGAACATGTGCCTTGCCTGCCCTTTTAGCGGAAGAAAGAAACAGGAAGAGCTCCCTCTGCCCAGCGAGTTGACAATAATGGCGCAGATCGCACATCAAAGTAGAACTTGCTCCGTGAGGTTGAAGTTCCCTGTCTTCGAGATCATCAACATGGCCATGACCTTCACTGCCTTCAGCCCTGGCATGAGTACCTAGGCTGACAATGAGCGTGTGCAGACGAGGAAGCAAGGCTTTTGAGGAAAGCGTTGCAGCATGCGCACCGATGATCACCGTTTCAGTGAGGCGGCACCATTAGCGGATTCCTGTTCTGCACTGCCATGCTGCCAGCCCGGGGCTTTGCCTGTTACTAGTAGCAACGGGAGCTATGCACAGCTGGTTGGTGCTTGAGGTGACGAACTACCGCTTCCGCAAGAGCATGGGATGGGAGATCAAGCCGGCACTGTTGTACCAGGCCTACGTCCCTGCCTCAGAGTGTTTTACGTGGGAACGCATCGGGGGGAGACGTGCCTTTACAGCTAGATGGTGCTGGATGGTTCTTGTGCCGAGGTGCCCACCGTTGTGCGCGACATCCTGTACGGTTGGGCGCGTGGCTTCGTGGCGGTCGCCCTGTCAGCAGTGTGGAAGCCCCAGACATTCGTGCAGGAGGCCAGGCTCGTCTGTGGTGATGTTTGCCTGGCACGGCTGGGCTTTGTTTCTCGGGAGGCCTTCGTGTTCGCCTTCGTGATCTGGGCAGCATGTAGCCTGACAGCAAGATCAGAGAAGACGGGATGGCAGACGGAGTCGATGGCAGGGGCATGGGGTGTGGCAGTTTCCCGGTGACGTCGTTTGACACATGTGTGGTCAAGCACTGCCCAGGCATCATCTCCTCGCCCTGCAACGAGTGGCGTGGATACACTCTGCAGCCCAAGGACAAGAAGAAGCCCAGCCGCAAGTAGATGCAAGGTGCTGTGCGAATAAGTGTTTCTTGGGGTTTGCATGCAGACGAAGTGAGGCTGTCCTTCGGTGAGTATTTCAAGCCCATCAACTATGCTCGTTCCACGGGTCCCGTGGCTGCACTGGCAAAGGCATAAGCGACACAGCCGGGAGGTCCCAACGCTGATGTCATTGATTTGCGTGGAAGGCATTGGTGCAACCATCATGGGCATTTCGCTCTTCGTTGGCCGCCTGGTCACCCCCTTCGCGGAGACCGCCTTCGCGTGCGCTGGCTGCATGTCTGCCTTTCTTGCTCGGTCTGCGACAGGAGCGCTTGCCAGGTACCTGAAGGGACACCCCGTCGCCGGAGTGGCTGCCCTGGCCATCCTGGTGGGAGGCTTCAAGCTGATCGCCGGAGGGCCCCTCGGCTGCACCGCCTCCTTGAAGTCTCATCCTGGTGCCGACCCCCTGCGCCAGGGAGGAGGAGAAGGAGGAGGAGAAGTAAGCGCACCGCCTCGGAACGTTCGGACGTTCTCAGCGCTGGGCAACTAAGAACGTCAGGCGGATAAGAAATGTAGCGTGGCACCGCACGCAGTTCGAGGCCAATTCTTTAGTCCATGATTTTCCAGTGCGAGGCACATCCAGCCTCACTGCAGAAGCAGTGCATAGCTGGCATCAGGTAGAATCTACAGCTTCAGACAGGTCTCACCGGCGGTCCTCCTTGTTGCAGTTGTTTTTCACAGTCCCAGAACTGGAGCTGGTTGTTGGGTTGCCGCCGATGCTGCCGAGGTAGCTAAACTTAGCGATAATGTATACAACGGCATGAGAAAATTGCGCTGCAGGCTTGTTCAGTAGTGCTGCACGCCGTACACGCTTCATGCACGGGTTCCGTGGTGCAGAACCGGCGCTTCGAGCCAGCAATCACAGGTTCAGTCTAGCGCGGATGGAGACTTCAAGAGTACGTTCTGGCTAGCACGGTGGCTGCTCCTTGCATGCTTAGATAATCTACTGACCCTACCACTGCTCGAGAACAGTGCTCAGTTTGAGTTGGTGGCGGCCTGCCATGCTTCGAAAGCTGCGAAAGCCCTCTGCAGCTCTGAGGCCTTGCTTGTGAGAGTTAGAAAGTCTTCATGCTGGCTGTGTTCGAGTCGTCCGTCGATGTGTGCTTGTTTGTGCGGAACCAACTGGCTCCAGCAAAAGCACAGTGCCCATAAGCTGCCAAGACCTGGTAACGATGGAGACTTTGCTGCACTCAGCCGTCTTGCAGTTTCCGAATGATTTCCGGGCCGCAGTGTAAGTATTGCAAGCTGGTCATACGATTGCATGGAGGAGAGCTCCTAGCGTCGCTCGGCTTTGCTGAGATGTCTGTCAAACAGAGCTTTGCAGCCGAGGCCCGTCAGAGCCAGATCCGTCGGCGTTCCCCTCTCCTGGCCGCCCTGGCGACCGGCCTTGTGTGTCTTGGATGGCGAAGTAAAGGGCGCATGCATGGTGGCCACAATGTAAGTCTGCACTTTTCCGCTACTAGTACGAACAGGTGGGGATCTTGCCAATGGACTTTCGCCAGCCCATCAGCCGGTGTTCAGCATGAGAGCTCGACCGCCTTGACGAGATCTTCTGGGGCAAGGACAGGGCGTGGCCTATGTGGGGCACCTTCAGTGCAGTAGCTCTCAGGACAGCTTGGGCGACGGGAAGCCTGCCCCGTGACCATTCCTCCGTTACAACGGCAGCAGCAGCCGCGGCAGCCCCCAACTTCTTCAGCAAGGTGCCGTATAGCCCATGGGGTCAGGTTTGCGTCAAAGCCAGCCTTCTCAGCAGCAAGCCAGGTTTTTGCTGCCGGTGCTCAGGGCGCCACAGTGCCACGGCTGCAGTGTATATCAGATCAGGAGACACTCAGCTTCAGCAGGAGGGGGCTGGCCCTCCATGCGTGGGTGTCGCGGTGCCTGACTTGAAGCACCCTTGAGGCCGCATTCGTGGCGGCAATTCTCTCTGCCATTTGCGAGCCGCTCGCGACTTGGCCCACATGGAGGCTTTGAGGCACACTCTGACAGGCCCCTTGCTTCCACTATCCTGCAGATCTGCAGGTGAACCGCCTGTTGGTGAAGCGAATGACGATCTCCGAGGCCAGGCGGCGAAGTTGTGCAGGCTTCACCTCCATCCTACCACGAAAGCGGAGGGCACAACCGTGCATAGCAGGCGTTGAAGGAGATGAACTTCAAGCTCATCTCCAACTTCTTCCTGACTACCTTCCCCACGAACATGTGCCTTGCCTGCCCTTTTAGCGGAAGAAAGAAACAGGAAGAGCTCCCTCTGCCCAGCGAGTTGACAATAATGGCGCAGATCGCACATCAAAGTAGAACTTGCTCCGTGAGGTTGAAGTTCCCTGTCTTCGAGATCATCAACATGGCCATGACCTTCACTGCCTTCAGCCCTGGCATGAGTACCTAGGCTGACAATGAGCGTGTGCAGACGAGGAAGCAAGGCTTTTGAGGAAAGCGTTGCAGCATGCGCACCGATGATCACCGTTTCAGTGAGGCGGCACCATTAGCGGATTCCTGTTCTGCACTGCCATGCTGCCAGCCCGGGGCTTTGCCTGTTACTAGTAGCAACGGGAGCTATGCACAGCTGGTTGGTGCTTGAGGTGACGAACTACCGCTTCCGCAAGAGCATGGGATGGGAGATCAAGCCGGCACTGTTGTACCAGGCCTACGTCCCTGCCTCAGAGTGTTTTACGTGGGAACGCATCGGGGGGAGACGTGTCTTTACAGCTAGATGGTGCTGGATGGTTCTTGTGCCGAGGTGCCCACCGTTGTGCGCGACATCCTGTACGGTTGGGCGCGTGGCTTCGTGGCGGTCGCCCTGTCAGCAGTGTGGAAGCCCCAGACATTCGTGCAGGAGGCCAGGCTCGTCTGTGGTGATGTTTGCCTGGCACGGCTGGGCTTTGTTTCTCGGGAGGCCTTCGTGTTCGCCTTCGTGATCTGGGCAGCATGTAGCCTGACAGCAAGATCAGAGAAGACGGGATGGCAGACGGAGTCGATGGCAGGGGCATGGGGTGTGGCAGTTTCCCGGTGACGTCGTTTGACACATGTGTGGTCAAGCACTGCCCAGGCATCATCTCCTCGCCCTGCAACGAGTGGCGTGGATACACTCTGCAGCCCAAGGACAAGAAGAAGCCCAGCCGCAAGTAGATGCAAGGTGCTGTGCGAATAAGTGTTTCTTGGGGTTTGCATGCAGACGAAGTGAGGCTGTCCTTCGGTGAGTATTTCAAGCCCATCAACTATGCTCGTTCCACGGGTCCCGTGGCTGCACTGGCAAAGGCATAAGCGACACAGCCGGGAGGTCCCAACGCTGATGTCATTGATTTGCGTGGAAGGCATCGGTGCAACCATCATGGGCATTTCGCTCTTCGTTGGCCGCCTGGTCACCCCCTTCGCGGAGACCGCCTTCGCGTGCGCTGGCTGCATGTCTGCCTTTCTTGCTCGGTCTGCGACAGGAGCGCTTGCCAGGTACCTGAAGGGACACCCCGTCGCCGGAGTGGCTGCCCTGGCCATCCTGGTGGGAGGCTTCAAGCTGATCGCCGGAGGGCCCCTCGACTGCACCGCCTCCTTGAAGTCTCATCCTGGTGCCGACCCCCAGCGCCAGGGAGGAGGAGGAGGAGAAGACCGAGGAGAAGGCCACCGAGGCGGCAAAGGCTGATGACTAGGCCGAGGCCGGCGCAGGGGGGGTGCGCACGCGCGGGTTTGTGGGCGCCTTTGATTTTTTAGGGCTTTGGACCTGCGCCCGCCTTTTCGATGACTGAAGCGATCTGAGGCGCCAGAGCGCCAAGGCTCTATACTCATCACCAACACCCTCACCAACAGCAAGGTGAGTTTTCCCAAAGTCTGGTCAGAAACACTGACCGATTGTGAGAAGGCTGGAATGTTTGGTTGCAGCAAAGTCTCACAGCAGCGCGCTTCTGGTAACTTGTGCTTATATGTTTGTTTTCTCGGGGCTCGTGTTGAAATTAAAGGAAGCATGCAGCTTTAATTTTTTCTGCTTCTCCAAGGTTCTTGAGACACGGAAGCTTGAAACCGCTCGAAGCACGAGACAAAAAGACTGCTTGCAGAGCAACACCGTGTGATTGTCTCTCCAGCTATCTTGCAAAGTGCCAGCAAAAGTCCCCTCACTGCCTGACGGAGGTGGGTGGCAACTTCCGCGCAGCAGCTTCGGCAGCAGGAGGAGCTTATTGAATCCTCGAAATAGGTGTATGGCTCGAGCACATCGCGCGAAGGACTCGATTAGGTTGGGTCTTCGTGGTCGACTCCCTCACTCCACGAAGGTCCGACGGGCCAAGCGGTGCTCCGCGACACGACGCGACTTCCTCGCGGCCTGCGTACGGTGATTCGAGGACGGCCCCGAAGGTTCCCCGGCTCGCGTGGCGGTGTCTGGCCGTCACAGCTCCGCCTTTGCCGCGGCTCTCAGGGCCACTCGCTGGGAGCCCAGAGCTTCACGGGTTTCGGCATGTCTATCGGATTCCGCTCGGCTGCTCGGTGAAGGTCAGGAGGCCATTGCAGCCCCGGTGGACTCTTCAGCGCACGGTGCTGAGGACAGCCTCATTCACTGCCACGTCTTCTTGAAATTTGTGTTTCCTCTTTCCCCGTGTGGAGGAGCTCACTGCACTTTTTGCCGAAGCTCAGATCCAACTGGCTGCCCTAGCCCCAACAAGCATCGAGAATCCTCCCGAGCTCGATCCATACCAGAGGTGCTTGCGGATGCCTCGGCCAGTGAAGCCAGCAATGTTCAAGAGGCCTCGCTTGTTCCGACATATCTCGGCACGTAATGATATGCGTTTCATATCCGCAGACTCGGTTTGCATCGCTCTGCCTCGCAGGCTGCTCGACGGCTCGGTGCCAGCACTGTTTGTGCGAACACTCTCGCCGTCGAAGGCCGGCCTCCTTTTGGGGGTCTGTGAGGGATTCGTCAATTTTTTAGCCATGGCCCATGGCCAGGAAGCTCAATGATGCCAGCGGACGCAATCCCGCAGGGTGAGCCTGGCCTGCACTGTTCGCATGGGTCGCTTTGTGAACTGTCTTCGCAGGACTGCCAAAGGACTCCGAATCTTCCATGTTGCTCTTCGCCGGCACCCCATCTGTCCTGCTTGGTTCATGTCTTGAATGCAAGCTTCTGCGTGCCACTTGCGTCGCTCAGGCACATTGCTCCGCCCTGGGGTCGAGTGCACCTAGGGCAGCCGAGGCGCATGTGCTCTCCAATAGAGTGCTTGTGAAATCATGTCATGCAGAATTGTGGAGACATTGCAGCGGGCATTCGCAGGTCGATAGACTTGCACTCAGTGCCCGCGTGTTTCTCAGTCTCAGCACCATTCAGCACCTATGATGTGTTGCTGATAGAGGTGAGCACATTCTGAGGTATCTCCAGGTCCACTGCGGCGTGGGCGTTCTCTGCCGAGGACACGGCGTGAGCCCTTGTGGTGGTGAGCGGACTAGCGTGCCGAAAGCAGAACACTTAGGTTTTGTCCCTTGGGCTCGAAGCCGGTTCCGCCGCTGCAGTCGTGGATGCCGTGGAGGCGTGGGATGGCGTGGGCGTGCATGCCGAGCTCGTTTTCAGCTTTGTTCGGGTCCCAGGCACCACTGGCTTCGGGTGCTCATGTCGTCTGTTCAGCGGCAGAATCCGTTTGGGCAGGGAGCCCTGGGTTTCTCGGAGACCTCGCATGCGAGACCGCACAAGCCAAGGATCTCTGGTCCGCCATTGAAGAGGCCAAAGAAGCCTCGGTGGTGTTCGTTGACTCGGAGTGCGGGTCCTTACCCACGTACTGCCACCTTTCTTCATGGTGTTGGGGTACCGTTTTTCTGCTCTGTTGGAGCTCAGGTGGTGCTGGAGCATGGCAAACAGCTACGACTCCCTTGCGGCCCCGCTACGGGAAAGTCTACGTTCTCGGTTTCGGGAGAAGACTCAGCCTCAGATTGAATCCGGTACTGGCAGAGCCTGAACGTCGGCTTCAATCGAGGCCATTTCGACACTTTGTGGCTGCTGCGCCTGCGGGAACTGTCCTCTCGCAGGAGGGCTTGATGACGCTTGACTATGTGACTCCCACATCTACCTGCGTGGCATTGCCTACCTGTCCATTTGTTCACAAGTCTGTCTTATTGAGGATCATGCCAGTCACAGAGAGAAGCCTTGCCGAAGGACTTGGCGGCGCGCTGGCGTGAAATCTTCAACTGCCCGCTCACATGGCACTTTAGTTGTGCCGAGGCAGCTTCATGCGACTGACACAACATGCTCCTGTATTCTAGAAGTGACGACTTGCATTCCGTGCTTCAGGATCTGTCAACAGCATTGGCATTCATGCATGCCAAAATTTGAAGCTCCAAAGAAGGGGGTGACAGCACATATTCAGAGTTGCGCACAAGCTTGCCGAGTGGTCTCAGGGTTCTCTCGGGTTCAGCCATGGCTCCCTTCCTGCAAGCTTGGCTCATTCCCTTCTTCGCGTCGGCCTGGATCCGAGGGGGCCCTCGTCTCTCGGCCTTGAATTCGAACGCGCCCGGTGGCCAGAGGTGGTGGCTGCGACGTGGAAGCCTTCGACCGAGGCAGCAGTGCAGCTGCCACCTCGAGGCACACCTCTTCCGGAGGCCCTCCGACGACACTGCAAGCCCTGAGTTCCCCGCCAGTGCGATGCAGAACTTCTCGAGGTACCTGCTTTCCGCTCCTCCGATGGCGTGCTCAATTGCACGCTGAGGCAGCGGTGTTGTACTGAACCAAAAGCAGAAGCCTAAAGCAATTGCGTCGCGGTGCAGGCTACGACCGGCACGGGTGGTGGGGCCAAATATCAGCCGGGACCTAAGCTAGAGCATACTCTAGTTCTCTGGGTTTGCTTGAGATTGGTTTGGGTAGTCAAATGCTCATCGGTTCTTTGGGCAAGATCCGTAGCAGGCTTCAAGGACACAAGGGATTGCAACTGGCTGTTAGTATCCCAATCCATTATCTTGGGTATACCAGAGCATAGCATCATCAACGTCGCTTTTCTCACAACCATTTGTGGATTGCGTGGGGCACTTCGTTGACAGCTTGGTTCGCCTGCTCATTCCGTAGCTTGCAGCGCATTTGTGATTCGCAGCCTTCCTTTCGTTTTCTTGCCTTGCTTCGATGCCTGCCTGTATATCTGTATGTGAACAAAACGCTATGCGAGGTGCCAGACATCTGAACATTCCCATACTGACGTGTGTTTGAATGAAGCTGATTTCCACCACCCTTGGCATCGATCCAAACAACATTTCACAGGCTTCGTGACGCGGATATACAACGATTTCATCCCGGGACCCACGATTATGATCAAGCCGGGCGACAGGCAGCCTGCGGAGATGAAAACATGCGGAATACGACCACAATCATCACCATAGTCGTTAGAAGCAGCATTGTCAGCTGCTAGATGCTAGAGTAGTAGCACCATCAGCACCTCTGCCAGCACGACCATCATCATTATCGTAATCATCAGCCTCGTCGATGTGGTCACCTTCGCCACCATTACCACCAGCATCAGCATCAGCATCACCATTCTCATCGCCAGCGCCAGCGCCATCATCATCACCAGTCATCATCATCAGTCATCATCAGTCATCATCAGTCATCATCATCATCATCATCACCAACGCTATCCTTGTCACCATCCTAGTCACCCTGTCATCGTCAGCATGACTATCACCGTACAGTCGGTATCACAATCATGATTGCCATCACCACCACCATAAATAACATCATCAACTCCGGTCTTCATGCATCAAAGTCAAAGATCAGCAACAACAGAGGACCCAACTACAATCACGACCAGCGCCACCAGTATCGTCAGCATCTCGCAGTTGCTGTCATCGTGGCCATCATGATAGCCATCTCCAGAAGCAACTGCATCGTAATGATTAGCGGCAGCACGGTGATCATGTCATCGTCGAAATATACTATCGATCATCATGCTCATGTTTTCAATCATATTATACTTGCCGTCACTAGCAGCTCATAGTTGCTGTGTAATCAGCACCTTCAGCACAGACGTGCAACACAGAATTCGGCTTCTGTGCTGTCACGGTGTTTCGAAACAGTAATAGCAATATCTGTGAGCATCAGTCCAAAACCAAACTAAGTATGATAATTTTGCTTCTCGTCATCTGGTACTGGTTACGGTACTGGCGATTTCGATGACGACGGCGGGGTTTATGGCGGTGGTGCTGATGATGATGACGATGCTGGACATGGTGATGCACGGATTGGGACAGATTTCGTGCTGGCAGGCTCTTGATCACTGTGCAGAACGATTTGCAGGCGCACAGCTGGCTGCCGCTTATCTTTCCATCGTGTCAACTTCTCATCAGAGTATTGCCATTGGTGATTGTTGCTTTTTGCCGAATACAGCTGTGTCGAAAGCTTGGCCACACGACTGCTATCAGATGCGTTGTTTGATTGGCTTTTGCATGTGTCCATGCCATCTAATGGCAAGGTTTGTTGCTGTTTCGACCCAGGGGTAAGAGGAGGAAGATACAGGACGACTTGCTTCGTGTGCATGCAAAACGATGTCAGGCTGCAGTCAGCACGAAGGCTGCAGGGCTCGGGAAGAGCCCATCCTGCAGCGACCAGCATCACGCACAGAAGCCCTGCATTTTGACCCTGTTTTCAATGCAATTTATCCCCGCCCTTCTGGTCCCATTCCGCGAAACATCTCTGAATCTACGTCTCGCTAGTCTTCTGCAGACCATGACTTGTGTGTAACGTGTTGTTTGTGTGAGGCTCCGCTGGGCATGACTGCCAGTCGAAATCTCAGAGCAATTCCTGAGACGCTAGAGGAGGGGCTGACTCGCATCTGTGTGTGTGTGTGTGCCGAGACGACAAATACCAGCTCCCCAACACCACCAATCTACACGTTCACGGCATCGCCCTCAGCCTCGGGCTTTAGCGAGCAGCAACAAAGTGACAAAAAAATGCACCTGGTTAGGCAAGAGAGAGACAGAGAGAGATAGAGAGAGAGAGAGAGAGAGAGTGTTAATTCTTGTTGCCGCCCCAGTTTTGTGTTGGTTTGTTTTTGATTGACACTGCACTTCGGGGAATAAACGAGCAAAGCGCTGGAGCCGTGTCAGGCAAGTGGAGGAGGGATCGCGTGTACGTCCTGGTTGGCTGACCTTATGCTTTCAGAGCATTCTGCAGTTGTGGTCCCAACCCTCTGAGGAACATGACATGCCTTAGAAGTTTCTGCCTTGTTCTGCACCTTCCTAAATTCATGACCGGGGAAGCTGTTAGCATGCTTTACTTTGTTTGTTCCAATTCTTACAGTGGTCAACTGCAGCATCGGGGGATCTCCGTTCAACCACAGTGTGCACCTCAGATGTTGTTGTCATTCTGTTAAACAGAACGGAGCCGCCACTTTTTACGAGTATGGGGGAGCGGTTGCTGAAGGGACTTAGGACTTGCCATAGAGGGCGCGGAGATGAGGTCGGGATGCGCGATAAACTTCAGGGTCGGGGCCCTAGCAGCAACCGTATGCCACTATACGTACCGACCAACGGATTGAAAAACAGTCCATGCCCCAAAAGCCTCTGCTCTCCGAAACCAAAGAGGGTGGGGGGCACCACGGCGCGGGTCCAGCTCGCTAGACCATGACCCGCAGCAAGCAAGCAACCTTGTGGTGGGGATTACTTTTACTTGGTATCTCCTGTGATTTACATGTATCCTCAGTTGATGCTGTTTGAGAGGACCCTGTTTGGCACAACTTGATTTGTTTTGGGGGACATCGGTTGCAGTAGGCACTTTGGACTTGCCATAGAAGGCGCGTGCTTGGGTTTTGCTACGGTCCGCAGATGCAAAAACGATTAGCAGCGATTCTGGCACGAAGCGACGCAGTGGCACTGCAGCAAAGGGTCGAGGACCTTCTTCTCAGCCTCGTCCCGCTCGGTCCTCGAGGCTTGCAGAACCCCCTTAGGAGGACTTACGAGGAAGAAGCGCAGACGGGGGGACACGGAGTTTGCAGAAGGCCCACCTCCTGCGCCACCTGGCCGAGAGACTCCCCGCATCGCTCTCCAACGTGGACATCGCTGAAGATATGGCAGCGAGGATCGCAATGCTCGAACACGGGGTCCGCTCCTTAGCCGCCCTCACTCGAGACCAGGGGGGACTACAGACGGTGGAGGTACGTGAAGGAGCAGACACCGCCCTCACCGCAATGAGGGTTGCCAGGGATAGAGCGCTGCAGGGGGACATGGATTGGCTCACGTCCAACTGGTTAGCCTCCTTGCTCGAGGAGGGCGATGCTCTGGCTTGGGAGTTGCAACATGTGCCGACGGAGGTCCACAACAGCGATGTCCTGGGACTGGACACGGGATGATATGGGGGCAAACGAGCACCTTGAAAGGCTCACCGACATCCAGAAAGCGAAGCCTTTCCTTCGAGAGCTGGGGGGCCCTGCTTCCTTTTCTAACAGACAACGATGGAGGAAAAGCCCGTCCCCTACTTGCTTCGCTCTAGCATGGACTCAAAGTGTGGAGGGATCCACCCAGTTCGTGGGCAGCCAGGGAACGCCGACACGCAAGAAGCTGGAGACTCTTTGCGCAGCCTGTTTGGGGGGCCCGTCGTAGCACGCACCATGGAGGGGACCCCCTGGCTAACGCCAGCAGGCTGACCTGGGAAGTCGACACCCAGCTCGACCTGGACACGGAGGTCGTCAAGACCAACGACACGGGGGCAGCCAGGGAACCGAAGTTCTGGCATCTGCGACAAGCCATGGCGACCCTGGACGTGCCTTCCTCTGCAGAGCGAGACCCGGAGAGTACGGCAGACACCCCAGAAGAACCGCCAGAAGAGCGGTCCACGGCTCAAGAGCTGGCGGACGCGCATGAGTTTCACGAGCAGTTTGAAGCTGAGGAGGCCATATACAGCTTCTCCGGCCGTCGTAGGGTGCACAGCCCTCGTAGCAACCGCCGTCGTACCCCAGCTAGCTACCGCACGGATGACAGTGACTGACGGGGGCTTGCACCAAAAGGCAGCAGTAGTGTAACTTCTCGTCGAGGGCGAACTGCCAAGCCTTCGTCTGCGGGGCACACATGTCTTTTTTGCGACGGGCCGCTGGGGGGCACTAGTTCGAACCGTAGGTGATCCAGGCATGTTATGCAGTTTTGCAGTGAGCTTTGTTGATGCCAGCCTTGCCCCGGCCTCAGCTCCCGTGGTCTTCCAGAGCCGACAATAGGGGGGTTCGCAGCTTAGCCTTCAAGGCGGGTTGGGGTTTAGTGTTGCCGGGGGTGTTCTGGTCGGCCTGTGAACAAACGAGGGGGAGCGTTTCTTTAAGTCACCACGTAATTCCCCGGTGCGCGAAATCGCGCGAAGCGGGGAGCGCAAGCGACCTTCCTCTGGCCGAGTTGAAGAAGAGAGGCGGAGTGCCTATCCTACTTTGACACTCCTCCAGCAGCCCGTAAAAGGCGGTACTCGCCCCTCAAGCCTGGCAGAGGAGGAGAGTGCCTCGGCACGGGTCTGTACGCAGACCCTGAGGCTTCGGCATATATGTAAGAGGAAGCCCGAAGACCCTTTGCCAGACATGGTGACATGGGCGGCTAACGAGGGGAAAGATGGGGACTGTATGCCCGCGCACCAAGATGGATGCGATCGAGATAGCCCACCACTCCGATGACAAGTTCCTTATCCGGTGTAATGTGTACTGTTGGGGAAGAGGGCAGTCACAGCCGGAGCTAAAGTCGTACTTAGAATTGGATCATTCACAGCAAGATATATTGTGAATCAGATGTGCCAGTTTGCCGGGAGGTGAGCGAGAAAGTGTGAATTTTCTCAGAGTTTCTTCAATTTCGGCTTTTTTCCCCTTGGCCAGCGTGGCAAGCCGGTGGTGAATCTGCACAATACCTCTGCCAACGCGGTAGGTCATGAGATCAGAGTCAGAATCAGAGAAGTTTTGATGTGGCACAGCATAAATGCAACACAAAAAGACAACGCACACCTCTCCCGGCCGTGCTTTCACGTACGCTCTGCAACGTCACAATTTTAGGATAGCCAAGGCATTCATATGTTTCAGCAGCTGTGACTTTGTAGCTAGCTTGGGAAGGAACGCTGCGGCGGTAGACTTTATCAGTTTTTTCTTCTGTACATTTTCGGACATATCTGACAGCCGTCAAAGGACTTCATGTGTCACCCAATGCGCCGGCGGACGATGTCTTTGGCACGGTCCTGGGCCCGGGCGATTCCTTCATGTAACTTGCATGCAACAAGGCAAAAGTGTCTCCCTGAAGGCCGACTGTCTTGCCATTCGAAGAGAAAAAGACTATGCACTTTGCCCGAGGTACGACTACAAGCTCATCGCAGATCACTCTCCTGGTACATATTGGGCGCACCCTCATCATCACGGATCCAACGCTGAAATCCCAGCTTTGCAGGGTTGAGCTCCACAGAATTTCGTGCAGCTTTCACGAAGCGACCTGGTGCCTGGTGGCTGCAGGTCATGCAGGCGGGTGCTGGAGCTGCGTCGGTGCTTGTGGTGCAGGATCCACCAGGCCAGGCCTCTTGTCGCAAGAGACCTGGCATGATGACATGAACGTGACATCCACTGCCAGGCTTCCTCTCAACTCAGCTGGAGACATTGCCAGATCACAGCCTGATGTTGCAGTAGCCTGGCGCTTCAAACTTTGAGGCTTTGTTTCCTGTGTCCGCGCCTCACGTTGCAAGCGCTGGGAGCTCTGAGGAACTTGCCTCTGCCGCTGTTGACGGCAGCTGCGAAGGCATCTGGGGACCAGCTCTTCCAGAGCTCACCACAGGAAGACCTCTGGCTGGTGAATGGCGCAGTGCAGCCCGTTCTTACAGTGACCTCAACCCAGTGGCACCGCTTGCGCTTGGTAATGGCCGGTGTCTCTGATTGGCTCTTCTTGGACTTTGGAAGCTGCGAGACAGCGCTGCTTGCAAAAGACGGCATTTACATTGATGACTTCCCGCGCTGGATATCCCGTGTGTCCCTGCCACCTGGTGGACGAGCAGATCTAGTCGTACGCTGTCCAGGTAGTGAGGAAGGTACCAATCATGCCGTAGCTTCTCTTGCCAGCCCCGGAAACGGGGTCAAGTCCTACGTGGGTCCCCTGTTTTCCATCCGCTCCGTCGAGTCGCAACTCGAGGGATCCAAAATGGAGGACTTGGTCCCCTGGCGTCCTCGGAGCCGGCCGACGTATTTGCAGGACCTTAGCGGTGACCTGACGAGCCCGGACTGCAGCTGCAAGACTCCACTGGGACAGGGGGTTCACACTCGTTGGATTGATGGCCACCTCTTCGAAGGTGCCAAGAAATACTTGCATCAGTGGCCACGCGACGCTGTTGTGCAGCGCGAGATTTCTGGGATTGACAAGCACAGTCTCTTGCATGCACCATGCTCGGGTCTCTGAAAAGACTCATGGCAGGATCTCGGGGTAATTTGTCTTATTGAAGTGCAGAGCCTTCAGCCGCTTCATCCGAGGCTTTCACCAGCACACCTGGCCATTTCAACTGCAGAACACGCCTGCCGGCAGTGACCCTTACTTCAAGGCCAGCAGGAAGCGTCGGGTGACTGGAGGATGTCTGGGCGTCGTGGGCAAATCACAGATTTTAAAAATCAGAAGGAAGAGCAAGTGAGAACGCCATTTCTGGTCGACTTGCAGGTAAAGGGCTTAAAGAGGGACTGCTCGTGCGACGAAGGTCCAGCCTCGAACTCGCAACCAGTGCCTCGTCAAAACGAGTCGAAATGGTGACTAGATTGAACCAAGGGATGGAGGAAGTGCGATAACATGAAATCTTTTAGCATAAAATCTTTTCTCATACATTACAATACAGCATCTCTATACTATACTTTATTATACTATGCTATACTAACTATACTATACTATGATAGAATGTTATACCATATAAATAATATCAGATAATGTAAGCACAATACAATGCATTTTAATATCATGCAGTATCATATAATACAGGCATAATATAATACGATAGCATTGAATACATATAAAGCATAGTTAAAGGTAAAAAGTAAAGGTAGATATAGACATAGAATGCTAATGTCCAAAAATGGTGCCTGCTAAAGACGTAGGTTTTGTTGCTTCTGACTTGTGGATGGGTCTGTGACATGGAGTGCGGCTTGGGGTCTTCCTGCGAGCACAGAAAGACGGAAAGTGTCTGCTTTACCGGGATGTCGTCAGGCCGGCGACTGGCATGACACTTACCAGAACGTTCTTGACTCCAAGGCTTGGGGGCATCTTTTGACGTATTATGTAGGTGTGGTAAGGAGCAAACCCTGGCCGGCTATATCCTTATGTCCTCTTTGGTTTTCAGCTCCGAGGTCGAGCTCATTATTGTTTGGATTGCTTTTCCTTTTCGTAACAGTGGCCCGGGGCGAAGGCCCACACGGTATAGCCGGGTCTAGTCGTCTTCGGCCGGTTCCGCTGCCATGTCCACGCACTTCTGCGAGGCTACTGTCCGCTTCAGCACAGTCGATTTCGCTGGCCCGGAAGTGGCAGCTCGACTTCATTGATCAACTTTTGGTGGTTGGGCTCGCCTTCTCCTAGCTGTTGTTGTTTCAGCTATGTAGGATGCCTCTCACCTAGATTCCGCCGCACTTTCGCGTTCCTGCTGTTATCTCGCATTCGTGATGCGCCGCTAGCCCCCCGCTAGGTGCATTGCCATGCTCTGGCGCATTCGGACCGGCTCACTGTGGGTTTGCTCTTCGTTATCATGCTTCTTACTACGTGTGATATCGTGTTGCCCGGCATTTGACTGCCGGCAGGATCAGGGGATGATCGGAGCAGAGATCGTTGCAGGCCAGGGGCTGCATTGCTAGCTTTAACGAGCTTGCAAAAACGCTGCATGAACCGCAATCGATAAAGTTCCCCGCAGACCTGAACTCAGATTCTGGGCTGTAGTGAATCCGAGTGCCTCCAGGACGGGGTCGGGACGCTTGTCACTGCGACCTCCTCGGAGAGGCAACTTCCCGCTCGAGCTGAGTTAAGCGCGGCAATCATGACTTTTACAGCTTTGCTGCTACTCAGTACTGCTGCTGCTGCTGCTGCTCCTGTTGCTGCAATGTCATTCTGAGAAACGCGGGAAAACCACCGTCAATTTCGCAGAAATCAACTTGTTGCAGATGTTTGCAGGCGAGGCTTGAAGATCCGTGGTTTGAGATTCAGAGAGCCCTCACTGTTGCTCTGCTTGCACATGTGTGCGTAGCCCCTCTGGCTGGCACGGTGCAGGGACAAGCAGCCTGCATTTGCGGCTTGTTCCAGTTGTGAGGGCCTACTCACCAATCTGTCGTCCTGTTTTGTCGGTTGGTGGTGCGGCCAAGCAGAGTGCAATGTGGGCGAGTCTTTCGCCGGCTGTCGCATGTTAATTGAGAGACGAGCTGACTGTTGACGCAGGCGCAGCCAGTGGATTTCGTGGCAGACGAACGAAGCCATCATCCAAGCATGCGCACGTCAACTGTTGTATCGCAGCGGGATGTGCTGCGCACGAACCAGGCCAAAGCCTGCTGCTAGTGTGGAGCCCCAGCAGTGACGAGGCGTTTCGCTCGTAAATTCCAAAAGGTGATGCGTCCTTTGACCTGCCCAGGTGGCAGGCCTGCTGTTCATGGCGATGTCTCTGCTTCTTCTGGGAATGCTTCGACAGGCTTGGCTGACCTTGTCGGATCCCTGCGATTTCGAGAGACTCTCTGGGTGTTTTTGTTTGTCAGGTCGTCCGCTCGGCGCGATCACTGTCGGATGCGTACAGCACGCTTCCAGACGGGCCTGAGAGTGCGTGAAAGATGGCCCGGGCGGGAGCCTAATGAAGGCTTTCCAGCTTGTGTCCTGGCGGCTCGTGCCGCAGTCTGTTCCTCCTTTGCAGCCGTCAAGGCTTCATGTTTCCCTTCGGGCAATTTTGTTGCCGTCGTTCCGGCGCTTTTCAGCCGCGCTGTGATACCACGTATGTTTTCGATGCGTTGGTGACGCAAGCGCGCAAGGTGCCGGCCGGGATTGCAAGTGCCCAGAAGCTAGGAGTCGGTGGACCCTCTTGACAGCTGCAGCTCGACGTACAACTCCTGCCGAACTAGGAAAGCAAAGGCGCAAGAAGTTTCCAGTGGGCTCCCTGCGACAGAGCACTTCAAGCCCAGCCGTGCTCTCTCAGTTTTCGCTGCAGCATGCTGCCTCTGAGATCGTCGCGAGTGCTAAACACGGGCACGCGATGCATGCTGAAGCTTTGCTCGTTTTTTTTGAGCAGCGGCCTGGATCTGTTGCTACATTGTCAGGTCGGGACACTGTACACAGTATGCGAGCAGGAGGTGCAGCTGACTTGTGCCGAAAGTGCTGGGGCATTGGCTAGCGGAACGGCAGGGCGAGGCCGTTGCGCATGCCGGCTACTGTGCCGATGGCCTGCAATGGCGAGCGGACGAAGGCCCGGTGAGCGCTGGCTTCGAAATTCGTGCTGCGATCCGTGGTCACAGTGTGTGTTGTGTCGGAGTGAGTAGGGGGAAGCATGTCCGTCACCGCAGGCGAGCTTCGTGTCAAGGGAGATGGTATCTTCACAGCCTACCACGGGCGTCCTCGCAGTACCAGGGAGGTGGGAGGCATTCTCTAACTACGGCATGGCAAGTGCAGTGGGGGACAATCACGAAGTCGCCACGAAGCGTCGGCTGGCGCAGGCCTTCGATGAGGACATCAGCGGCTGCGTTTGGGTGTCTTGCGCACTCGTACTGGAAGTTAGGGTCATGTCTTGTTCTAGAAGGACGGCTTCTTCTGCAAGACAGGCCAGCTCCGAACAAACCATTGTAGAGAACTACCGTCAAAGCTGTGCTGCGAGAGGGATCACAGTGCAGGAAATCGCTTGCTTGCCTCAAAGCTCCCGTGTCGAATCACGGTGCATCCTTGTCTGCTTCAGGCCATCGAGCTCTGAACATCGAGGCGCTTTGACTTTGTGAGCCTTTCTCTCTCGTCCGGCTGCAATGAGAGGCTGATATGCTGCTTCCGCTGCCTTTGCACTACAATCGCGAGTTGGAGCAGGCCGTCGCTCGAACGTCCCCTCCCTTGTCGGCAGAGCCAAGCCGCCGAGCCGCAGGACATGCACAGGCTAATGAGCAGAGCGCCTAACCAGGAAGGGCGCTGCCGGCCCTGTTATCCAGGGCCGAAACGACGCGACGGATTGGATGATTGGTTGCTTCCAGTGAGTGATGCTGCGCTGCCAGGCCCCAGCAAATGAAGCCAAACTGGAAGATCAAGAAGGTTCCCATACGGACTTACAACATGTGGGTCGTGCTGGGCTGAGCCGGCTGAGCTCGCATTGCCGAATATTGACATTGGTGCCCCATGATCGCACCCACACTTTTTTGGTCGAGGCAAACTGGGGAGCCATTCTTGTTACCAAGAAGCACAACCCTGGCAAAAAGGTCCGGGCAGAAACTTACGCTTCTGAAGGTCTGTGATTGGCGAGTGGCCGCAGGCAATGTCTTTGATGTTTGCTCGCCAGGCATACATCAGCAAGTATTACAAGTGATGAGGAGTTTTTCAGCATCCGTCGTCGTCGAAGCTGACGAAAACGGTGACGGGGGAGACTATGTTTTCGTGCTTGCTGCTTGCACAGTCCTGCAAAGTGCACCGCCATGACCACTCAAAGTGTGTGGATGAGTTGACTTGCATTGCCGTGCGGCTCTGCGCATACGCGGCCCAGAGTGTACACGCAGCAACTTCTCAGGGACCCGTGCCATCCCCTCAGCTCGTTGATTCACTGCATTTGTGCAGCTTTGCCAGAGAAAACCAAGGCAAGCTGCCAAAGCTAGCGATGAGGGCAATCCTAGGCACGTTGACTGTTGAACGCTTGTGTGTGAGCATGGCAATTTTCAACCCTGCAGTTCTAAGTTATGTTTTCGGAGATGGCTGCGGTACTAGCATTGCTAGCAACGGTATCTACAACTCCAACTTGGGAAGCCATTGTTTGGCGCAGTCGGGCGGGTTGGCGTTGCTGGTGCCAAGAGGCTTTCTCGACGCAAGCTTGGCTCACGGAAAGAAGCAGTCCACCCAGCGCCCATGAAGATCAAACCTCTTCGACAGACCGCCCGCCTAACAGCAACTCGGGACGGGACCGCACAAGTTACTAGGCAACGAGGAAGGCACTTGAACAGAGCAGTTGTGAGCATATGCTGAGATATAACGATGGCATGACAGCACGATCAACACATGCTACAATAATCCCCAAACCCCCCCGCATCTCGAAGCTTCAGCCTGTTAACTGTGAGAACAGAGAGAGTCTCCATGGAGAAGCCTCCCGAGACCGATCAGCATGCGCTGTGGGTGGAAAACATGCCACTCGGTGGACGTGGTTTTCAGAGGTCCTTTCTTGCTTGTTGGAGGATTTCGCCTGGATGAGGCGTCCCAGTTGCAGTCTCTGTCTTTAAGGATACGCACGGGTCTGGAGACAATGTGCATCGAGCATTTGAAGGATGACCACTTCATCCTGTCTCCACACCCACTGGAAGCTACAACCAGATACCTGCTTGCGTATGACTCCAACACGCTGCCTGTATGCAATTCGGGGATCCCGGGATTCTCTGGCATTTGGGAGAGGAGGCTGTCTCCGGGCCTCCGAGGTGTTCTTCAGCCGACTGCTGGGCTCTCTGGGGAGCTGGTGTTGCAGCGTACGTGGACTACTTGAGAACCTTGGTCACGAATTTTTGGATCGCTCCCCTTGCTATTCTCAATCAGGGGTGTTTGACTCTGCCGCCCCAAAGGCTCCGGATCTGGCAGCGTTTTTGACATCCCTGCGCACTTCCACAGCTCCCTAGACTCCATCGTGAAGCAGCTCTTGCGTTCGGTGCAGGATGCGACGTTGTCTCTACCCCCCACCCCAACACTTGGTACATCTCCACACTGATGCACTGCCCAGAGGAAACTTCACGCTCGCTTCGGCGAACAACCAATGCTTTCGTTCTGAGTAGTCCCAAAGACCTGGACCGCGAGAGCAAGGACCGACCTTGCTGGTGGTCTTGGGGCAGAGTGAGAGTGAACTTCAGGCTTAAGAATCAAGAACTAAGTGAACTTCAGGACTTCAGAATCAAGAAGTCGTTTTGAGCTGAGACGCAGGAGTCCTCGCTGGAAGATGTCCAGGCAACCGCCGAGCAACTCCTGGAGGAGTCGAGACTGAGTGCCCGGGCGAGCATTTGCACAAAACATACTGGGGAATTAGGGTTTAGGGTTCCCCAAAAACCACTACCTGTTTAGGGATCCTATTCCTCAAAAAAAGGTCATCAACAAGGTAGGATATTCAGGGTTAAGGTAGGTTTTAAGGGACGGGTCATTTGAGGGGAGAGCTCCATTCTGCCAAGGCGGCCCTCCAGAGGCCTGGCAGCTCCCCGACGGACGCCACGAGCTGCTGTTGAAAGAGCTCACCTTGCTAGAGGCGGACGGGGTAGTTCTTGCTGGAAGTCATGGGTACCCTTTCTTGGTCTTGACTTCGTGGCTCACATCGTCCGGAACAGCCCATCCCTCAAGGGACAGCCCCAATTTTTGTGCCATCCGGCAGGGCTGATCTCCCTCACTGTTGCCGCGCTCGCCACCCGCCACCGCCGAACAAATGACCAATCACGAAGTGAAGCCAAAGGTCGCAGTCTGCAAGCCGTGCTCAACCCCTCAATTTGCAGCAATCCTGAACGCAGGAAACTAAGGAAACTGCGCAGCCGTAATTCTGCACGTTCTGCAGGGCGGAATCCTCGCCGCAAGCGGCGAACCGAAGCGCCAGACTTTGCCAAACGCCTCGGTCAAATCAATGTGAGGATGCCGCTCGCGCAACCGCATTCTGCCGAAACTCGCCCCCAGGTCCTTGTCCTTGTGTCACAAGTGGCAACCCTTCATGCGCCCCCACTCCACGCGATTGAATCGAGAGCATTTCAGTTCCACATGCAAGTTCAATAAGAAGTACCCTGGTAATCAATAGAGAGGCTCGATCGAAGATGGGCGGTGACGTCTGCAATCGCCCAGGATCAAGTCAATGACGGCCGGGCTTTGCGCGAGGTGGAGGCGCAGGCCGGCCTGGAACTCATCCTAACTTTGATAGGACATTCATGTGATATTATAGATAGATAGATAATATGCTAGAATATACAAACACGCGCACATATGTTTGTACATATATAGAAATATATATGTATGTATGTAGCTATATACACATGTTATCTTCCCAAGCACATCCAAGCACATCTCCCCCGCTTTCACTTCGCCAGGCCGAGGTGGTTGCCGAGGCCCTCGCAGGACAAATGGCTGAAAAGGATTGGGAGGAGCTCCCTGGCATCGAGCGCTGGCCATAGTTTCAGGGCCAGTGCAAAGAAGACAGCTCTTGCACCCAGGCTGTATGCTGAAGCGTCCACGGCTTTCGGGGAGACTGCCACAGGGTTCCGTTCCACCTTCCGCGATACTGGCACTTTCCGCGACACTGGTGGTACCTTCCGTGACACAGGCGTCATGGGCAATCAGTCCAGCGGTAATTTCCCGAAGCTAGGGAAGCCGCTTGAGCTTGAGGATTCAGTACCTGGTCGACCGACTTTCCGGAGCCCAAGACGCGAGACGTCTTACAGCAAATCATGGACGAGCACAAGCTGCCTGAGTCCATGCAGAAGGAGAGAGGGTGAATCGATGGTCCTTGTAGATTTTAGACATACAGCGTCTGCCAGGAGCTGGACGAGTTTGAAAGTGAAATGGAGGTCACGCTTCGGTTAGTGGGAGGGGAAAGCGCCCTTGCACTTGTCAAGCTTTTTGAGCGTCTGCCAAAAGGCCAAGAACCTGGCAGCGGAGGAGCGGTTCGGGCTGCTATCCGTTATGCCACTTAGCACGCAAGTTGGCGAGCTTGGCTGATTTGAGCTGATTTGTCCAGTCGAGCACAAAGGGGTCCAAATGCAGGCGCAAGACCAGCACTTTCCGGCATGATGGCCGACGAAGGGCAGGTCGGGTGCGAGCTTGCTAGAGCTGCTAGAGCTGCTGGAGCTTAGAGTTGCGAGAGCGGAGACTGCAGGATGCCTGTAAGACAAGACAAAGGAGCTTAGTTCTTAGTAGCACAAGGCATCAGAGGCTCCGCTCACGTGCTTTGTACCTCATGTAATGCCTGATGAGTCCTGAGCGCGACGAAGTCGCGGCGAAGCAGTCGGGGGGGGGCTTTTCCGGGGAAGCAAGAGCATGCAAGAGCAATCTTGCCGATTATGTTGGCGGTTTTATAGAAAGTCGTCTGGAAGACGGGGCCGAGTGGGCCCGGTGTGCTGCACATCGAAGTATGTGTTCAGAACACTTCAGCGCCTTTCGTGGATGTCATCGGTGATCCGAAAAAAGTGGTACGTTCAGAATGTCCCACCGGCTGTGCCGTATGTATACATTAGCACGCGTTGAACCCCGTCGCAGGAGCTTCGTTTGCCTTGGTGGCTGGAGCCATGGGTGATCAGGCATAGTCATCTTGGCAAAACTCGCCATCGCCATGCTAAACTTGCTACCTTGTGCTTTGTTGACGGTACTCGTAGGCTTCCATGCCGAGCCAGCCAGCGACTGCCGCCACTCCAGCATCTCCTGCTTTGTCGGATGTCGGGGGCTCGATTGGCATGCCTGAAACCGAGCTCAAAAACCTGCTGAAACCTTTTCGAGAAGGGATCCACCGAAGGCAAGGTACCTGCAAGCCTCGCCGTATGAAAGTTGGGGTATTGTTGAAGGGAAACTTTGCCAAGAGAGCCTCTAAGGCGCCACGTTGCCACCTTGCCCCATTGTCCGTGCATTCAGAGTGCTCCAGTAGAGGCCTCACTGCAGCAAGCGCAGCTGGCCAATCACATTGGTGGCATCTACAGGCTTCGGAGTTACATCGTCAGCAAAATTTGGTACCTACACTTACAGATCAGTCGTACTGCATGTGGCGAAGCGTGGTCCAGGTCAATGTACGCCCCGGGCGTACCGGCACTCCCTGCAGGTCTTGTTCAGAAATCTATGGGCGACAGGCGACAAATCGAGCACCTGCCACTGCAGATCGGAAAATCCGTTCGCAATGAGAACGTAGGAACATGATGCTAGGCGCAGTGCTTCCACGCCCGAAGTTGCCATCTTTGTGTTGTTTGTTGTTGCTGGTATGACAGGCAATGACCATGCCTACCCAGGGTGCCATGCCTTCCCAGGGTGCCATGCCACAGCAGGGCGTCGGTGCCTTTGGTGCCTCTTTCTTGTATGGGTCTGAGGGCTTCGAGATCCCAGGTCCCTGCTCCGGCCATGGGTGGAATGGGCGGAATGCCTGGCATGGGTGGGTCAGGGCCCCAAAGATGCTTTTGGGACTGCTTTTCCTAGCTCTGCTTCGGGTTTCTTTCAGGATGTATGGAGGCTCCTACGGACCCATGGGCACGAACGTCGGACAGGCATGGACCTCAGCAGCCGGGAAGCGGCAGAAGTAGACGTCCATGAGACGAGGCATACGGTGGAGCCTTCGGTGGCTCGGCCTCTGAGGTGCAGCACCCCAGTTATTAGTTGGTAGGCTCCTACCGGCTTCACTGAATAATTGTGCGGAGGCGATTTTGCAAAGATCTTGCTAAGCTCCCGTTGGCAACCGTTCTGATTGATGTGAGCCAGCCGCACTGGTCATCCGCTTCGTGCGTTCACCCAGTCACTCATCAAATTCCTTAATGCCGTCCTCTTGTGTTGTGTAACGCTCTTGTGTACAGGGATTCGCAGATGAGAAGCTTCGAGATGCCTTGGGCCTTGAGTCAGTGGGATACTTAGATTTCGGAGGTGCAAGCCTCGCAGTCTCAGCTCGCAGATCAGCTGGGACAGTTCTATCGGCCACTCGGCGAGAAATGGTGGAACAGGGTGGAACATGGTGGGACCATGTAGAACTCAGAGATTCTTGCCTGACAGGGCCCAATTCCTGCCTCCTGGCGTCGAGTCGCAGGTTGCAGCACAGCAGGCGGCACAGCAGGCCCGAGCCCGAGCCCCCAAAGGGCTTTGCCGTTCTCCATCGATCGCCAGGCTGCCATGGCTGCACAGCAGGCAGAGCAGGCGGCACAGCAGGCGGGAAGCCGCGGCATTGAAGGAGACTCGAGACTCCTCCCTCCTCCCTACGCAAGCCGCAAGCCGCAATCGCTGAGGTTAAGCAGGAGACCAAGGGCGCCGCCCGGACCCGAGACGAAGCCGAGACGAAGCCGCCACGTAGTCGCCACGTGTCACACACGGAACTTCTCAGGACGCCAAAGCCAAGGCACCCGAGGCCCTCCAAGCGATGCTCTTCCTACGAAGCAGAGCATTTTGCCAAGCACGTCTCGCTTTGCAGATGCTGGCAGCTCCTGCCCCGGCACCAGCGTCGGGCCCTCCAAGCGATGCTTCCGCAACTTGGCCGCTTCAGCGCTGTCGTGCTTAAAATAGTTGATGATGTTTTCTGCTCCGAGGATTGCAAGACCATGGAGGAACTAGATGCCTGGAAGAAATCCAGGTCCGACGGCCCTTCGAGCTAGAGTCTAGAGACTGCTTGGTGCACTTTGCGACAAGATGGTCATCCTGTTACCGCAAGGGAAGATCAGCTGAAGAAGTACGTGCCGAAGGCCACCCCGTCAGTTCTGCTATGCTACCGAGCAAGGGGAGCTTTCGGACATCTCTGTCTTTGATTTGAGGACTACCAGAAGTTCGCACTGAAGTCAATTGACAGTCAGAAGCTTGGAATTCTGCATGTGCGGCGTGGCCCGTGGCCAGCGTGGGCAGATGAGGCCAGTACGAGACCAACAAGGAGAGGATCCAGGGTGCTGGCCCAAGCACCCTCCGAGAAATGAACTTAGCGCAGGAAGCTGCTGCAAGCGTGTTCGCTGCTAAACGGTCAGTCGAATTCTTGATCGGCAGGTTTTCAGGGTGTGTAAAGGAGCCCCCTGCCCATCTGTTGGTGCGGAGACTTGCGACCGGCCGCTCGCGACATAGAGTATCATAGAGTCGAGGAATGCGAAATGAGAGGCTGCAGTAAAGTGATCCCCGGTCTTACAGTCGCTGTTTATTTTTTGGGAGCTGGGAACTGGAGGGCAGCATGTCAGTGAGCACGCCAAGGCGGTGGCAGCGCAGCTTCTGCTCGCTTGCTTGCTTTCGCTTGCTGCAAGGAAAGAGTGGCAAGCTCGCATACGTTTGCATACTGTGCATTCCGGCATCCTGTGCCCGGGCTCAACGCTGCGATGCGTGCACTGCATTCAAGGCTTTAGAGCGTCGGTAGCGGTCCCCGGATAGTTGCCACCGATATCGTGGCATGGGTTTCCGCAAGACGCCACGTCGGAAGGCAGACGGCAGACCTCATACGCATACTTGCACAAGCATTCAGCAAAGAGGAATGTGTTGTCTATGTTGCTTGATTGACTGCATTGCAGACCATCGTCGTGGCGGTTCTCTTCGGAGCTTGCTTTCTTGCATGGAGGCTTGACGGGTGATACATGCTCTACTGCGTTGAACAGAGCCGTTGCCTGGTCTCACTGTGGCATGTATCGATTCTGCCTGAGGCATGGCATCCACTCCACCGATAGCGGGCACGAGAGCTTCGTGCCTGGTTTGACAGAGACGAAGAGACTTGGCTTCAAGAAGCTGCAGACTTTGCAATTCGGCACGAGCATCTCACTGGACGTGGAGATTCATGTTTCTATACAGAGCTGCACTGGCTTGGCTTGTCAAGTCAAAGGATCCGGCCAGACACACACGAGTCCGCCGTGGCTAACCTTGATGTGGTCCAATTTGCTGAAGCAGCACCTTCATCCACAACAGCTGCTAATCCCATGGAGAGCGAAGTGCTTTGGAGCCTCGGATTGTAATTAGCAGGCCTGAAGATGCAAGGTAACTGGATCCGCACTCGTGCTTGTTGCAAGAGAGACTGCCAAAGCTAGCTGCCGAGGAAGGGTGTCAGTGTCAGCCTTAGACGACGACTATGTGTTGCTTCAATTTCATGTTTTCTTTCGGTCGCTCCCCTTTCTGCGACCGCATGCAAGGCATGTTCAACGCAATGATGTGGGGAGGCCCCCAGGGGGTGGTGGTAATTGGCCCAGATTGGCGAAGACCATGCTCTTTGGCCTGACAGGAAGCATTGTGTCATCCAAAGCTGGCATCGATGCTCTGGCATCTGCAGGTTTTGAGGACACTTTAGGGTGTTCGGAGGAGATCGGAGGAGAAGAGCTTTTTTTGCAGGAATGCACTGCTTGAAGGAGCCCGGCGTACTGTTTGGAGCGCTGCGCTTCACCGTTGCCACGTTGTGCTTGTCGCCCTGGCTCTTCTCGTCCAGCTCTTTGCGAAGTACGCTGGAGTCCCAGTGCAGAAAAACACTCTTTGCCCGACTGCGGCTCCTCTTAGCTCCACAGGCTTGGCTCTTTGAAGGTTGGCGCCTTCTACGGAGCAGGCAGGTGTACCAAACGGATATGGTGCTTTGCTACATGGCCCAACTGCGAACTCCTTTGCAGGATACGTTGCAATGTTCGTGGCCTTGGGCACCTTGGCGACATGCTCTGAACACGAAAGGAATGAGGGAAGCGCTGGGCACAGAGGTGCAGGCAGAGCAGATGCATTCTGCGAAGGATTGGGGACCACGGCAGCGAAGACCTCCTTCTTCGGCTCGCTTCAAGCCGTCGTCTGCGCAGGCACCTGCGAAGAAGACGTATGAGCTGTTTCTTCGGCGCGAGCGCTCTCTGCCAGGAATCACCTGCATTGCTGCGGGGCGCTTAAACATGGGCACCCTGGCAGCGGCTGCGATGGCGGTCACAGGCTCAATCTCCCCTGACGTCGTCTGACAGATTGCAGCATGAGAAGCGACGTCTGGCCCGGCTCAAGAGCCGCAGGAGTCGGAGTGCTCGAGTTCGGCGGCGGTGGAGCGCTGGAATTGGGCGTCGGTGATCTGGTCGCCAGCCTAGTCCCGCTCTCTTTCGGAGCAGGATGGTATGTGCTGGGTCAAACAATGATGCCTGGCCAGAGAACTGTGTCTAGTTTAGTGAGTCTAGTGCAAGATCACTCTCGATGGTGTGAACCTTCGACATTGCGTGATCAAAGGAAAGATCATCCACAGGACACGCTGCCGTCAACGGCCATCCAGCTTGGGATGACGGCCTTGGCCAACATCGGCTGGCTCGCCTGGCAGAAGGGAGCTGATGGAGCTGTGGAGCTAGGCATGCAGCTTCCCCAAGTGCTGCAGGCGGGCCATGAGCCGAGCGAGCTTGCCCAACTGAAGGAGAGCATAAAGTAAGCTTGTGCGAACTCACGGCCTTCTGCTGATCGCCGATAGCCCCACTCTCTACACTCTCCGCAGCACACTCCCACGGCGGTCGGATGACTCGTCATGCTCTTCGCATGCTACAGTAAACGCCTTCCAGGCTACAGCGGGTTGCCAAAATCTCTACAGACGACGCACTGCGCCGTGCAAGCGATTTCAAGGTTTGTGTTTGCAGAGAGCACGGCCCACGCCGACAGGCGCCCGGGCTCCTCGGACCGCTCTGCTTCTCGGCACTGGTGGGCAATGCTCCTTGATTATGTTGATTCCTTTGGAGCTCACAAACTGCAGCTACTGCTCGTCGTCATGGTATTCTGCACAGCTATCGCTTTTTGCGGCGAGGTGCTGACCATGTGGCTGGCCAACGAAGCCTTGCGCAGGGTCAAGGGCTCCGACGTGGCTCTCATCGCCGCCTCTGAGCCACTCTGGGCAGCAGTCGCTGCCATGGCACTTCTAGGTGACGTGCTCCCCCCGGCGGAACGACACTCGACAGGCAAGGCAGAAGGCATGGTATCCGAGTCCGAGGTGCTGCAACCTCACGAGATCCTCGGAGGCGGCTGCAGCTTATTTCAGCAAGGGGGTAGCGCAGAGGATTTCCGCCAGCACGGAGGAGCCCTGCTGGTTGGTGCTGTGGTCTGCAACGAGCCTCTCGCCTGCAAGCCTCACGGATCTTGCATGAATTTGCACCGTCCGCTCACATGAGGACCCTGGCAGAGGAAGCAGAGGGCGCCCTGGCCTGCGATGAGCCACATGCCATGGTGCCGTCCGCTCCCTGCCCAAACGGAGGTGTAGATGCTCCAGAATCCGAGCGAGATCTTCTGAAGCGAGTGGCCTTGATGCAGAGCTCGGATAGAAAAGCCAGTCGCTTGGATGTCGGCATGTCTCAGAAAACCCAGGCGAGTTTGTCCGCCCCGTACTTCGCCCGGATGGCGGTGCACCTCCGCAGAGGGCCCCAGCCTTGGGCCGCATTGCGGAAGTGGCCCTTGTCCTATGTGCGACCACATCCCAGGTCCAAATTAGTGCTGCCCACTGTCCGGTCGGCGAGCCCATCGCGCAGCCGTGACCGGAACTGATGGCCTCGGAGTCCAAGTTGCAGGGAGCATTCCCTTTTCCACTAGAGCCTTAGGCTCTACCGGCAATGCTGGCCCCTTGGAATCCCGATCTGAGGCATGTAAACATTGTTTTTTGACCGCGAGAGATTCGGGCAGTGTTGCGCTGGGCAGCTTTCGGCAGTCCCGGGTGTCAGTGTACGCATGTCGTGTAAGTTTCAGGCAGCCGGGATCTGCGAGCTACCTCTGCCCGAGCCCGAATGTGCGCCGTTGCAGGGACAAATACGCTTTAACTAGCGCTGGCACCGATGCTGCATGCCTCCGTCCACTCAGCAGCTAGCGGTTCGGGTTCAACAGATACTTTCATCCGCGCATGCATCATCGAAGTTCCAGTGTGATTCTTGGTCTGTCATGAGAGTTCTGATTTTTGAGCTCGCTGTTAGAAGCGAGAGGAGGCCTGGCACAGCAATGCTGGGCATATGGCCTGAAATACCCTGAAATACCTAGCTTGACAGTTCCGGATTCGCGCCAAATTGTTCATATCCCTCGAGGCTTCTCTGGCACGCATCGCCAATATTCCGTGTACCACCTAGGGTGCGGTCGTCTAGAAAGACCGAGATCCAGCCCCAGTTGTTGTTCGGAGAGCTCCGCAGTCTGAGTTGCCCTCCATGCTTCGTTGTCCCGATGCCAAGAGAGGCCTCCGAATGGCTAGTGTGCAGTGACCCACATTAAGTTGTGAGGTTGATGGTCATGGACCAGAAGTCTTTATCTTTGCAAGATGCCATACTCGGTCAACCCGATTCACCCCAGGGAGAATAGCTGCCTTGTGGGCTCGTTGGGTTTGATCAAGTCTTTGATCGGCAAACAGTCGCATGGCCAAGAGAGCCGTTTCAGAACACGAGTGAAGATCGTTCATGAAGCTCTCAGAAAAGGTGTATATATAGAGTGCTGCTTATTCTAGAGTTTAGTCCTCCCCACGTACATCTTCGCCAAGAGTGCGGCTTCTGCCAGGCCGGATCGACGGACTCCGGCTCCAGTGCGAAGCCTTCCGTGACGGGTCCTCTGGTCCTTGCATCCTCTGGCAGCGACGATGCCCAGGCCCTGAGTCATCGAAGCCCCCTGGGTGCTTTGCGGAATGGAATGCCTGCTCGAACTCGAAATCTCAGGAATCTGCCTTTGCAACACTAGGTCCGGCGTAACTCTTCCCGGGGGGTTGTCGGGGGGTGCTCTAGGCGACAATAAACATTGGCGATGGTCGATAGGATGCATCGGGTCCACATGCCAGCTTCGAAGCGAATTCTGTGCAGGCCACGATTGCAGACATGGAGGATAGATTCAAGCAGAAGGCTGCCGTTCTTCCTTGTCACGGAGGGAGCGACTTCTGTGGCTATGCGCAGGCACAGGAGATCCAGTCCGGGGCCGACGGAATCGTTGACCAGGTCATGCCCTGGGCCCCGTGTGGCATGCGGGGTTGCTCCTGTTGTTGCTTGGAGCCAGGTGTCAGACTCCTTGAAGAACGGCTTCAGCAGTGCCATGCAATCGGCTGCTTGACGCAACCCGAACACTGGCGGTCGAGCTACCAGGACAAAGGCGGCTCAATGTCAAGAGCAAGACCGGTAGGCCGTCCCGAGATGCTTTCGTAGTGGCTTTAGTCCCCCGCTCCACCATTTTGTGATAAAGCAGTCATAGCCAGCCATGGCCGAGTTAGTCTCAGGTTGAGAAGAAGGCGGACAGGACTGTAGCCGAAGCGGAGTCAGCCGCCGAACTGGCCTATTTGCAGACGATTTCCACCCGGGATGTTGTGACATGATGTGACATGGTGTGTTATGTTGAGATTTAAACCAATTGTTGGCCAGGCAGACAATGCAACTTGCTTGCAAGTATTCTGGTCGTCACGCAGCATCTGGCTTGTGTCACAGTCGCGTTTGTGCCTCTGTCTCCGAGGTGCAGCAGAGGATAAAGGACAGGGTCGTTGGATTCGAGTGCTCCGCTGACAGTATCATGCGCCTGCCAGGAGTTGGTCAAAAAGCAGCAGAAGGAGGGAGGCAACAAGCCATCGCCTGCTGCAGCATCCTTTGCAGAGGCCACGCCGTCTCATTGACAGTCGGGGAGCCGAGTGCGGTTTGACGCAATCTGCAGCTCTTAAAGGCACCGGAAAAGACGACCTCCGCTCGGAACTTAGCAGCAGCAGGAAGAAGTAGCGGCAAAGTGGCCTCCTCTGTAAAGGCCTCCGCCTTCGTGGTGCCCTTCTTTCTGGTTGCGGGAGCCGCTGGCGGCTTCTACTTGCGAAAGAGGGTCGGGGCAGCTCTTGCCGCTTTCGAAGAAGCACTTGGCTCGTGTGCTTTCTGCTGCAGACTTCCGGTGACGACCTGGAGTCCGTCAGCGGCTTCTGTTGAATCGCTGAGTCTATCCTCTCTCTGAGACTTCACTCCCAAGGTCTACCACATGCAGGTCTGAGCCGGCAAAACCAGAAACTTTCGAGGCTCGGATGGTGTGACCGGACAGTGACAGTGTGACTTGCCCCGCTGCGGTGCCATCCGACGGTCAGGGTGCGCTGCGTGAGTTAGCCCGACTGATGCTCTGCATGCCGTCAGTGACGAGTGCTCCAATTCGGATATCTCTTTTGCCGATTGTAGCTTTTTGTGTGCAGGCTGCCCGCATTTGCTGCCACGTGCAGCAGAAGAAACATCATGCCTTTACCAGCAAATGCGGAATTCGCCGACGCATTTGGCGAGGACAGGGAGAACCCCGTATGGCCCATAGAGCAAACTGTAACCGACTTTCGCCCAGTCAAGGCCCTGCATCTTGTGCTGCTCAAAGGGCAGCTGACATGATCAAGAGGCTTGACTGGCTCCTTGTCCAACTGCGAAGTGCAGAGCATGTGTGTAGTTGTGTGCAGTGTCCAGGGCAGATAACGTATCGAGCGGCAGGTGCCTGTGACGAGCTTCGGCTTGTTTGTGTCATGATCAAGTTGAGTTTCTCATGCATCTGCCTCTCTTCGAGACCTCTTGACCCGCCGTGGTTGCCCTCAGCAAAAAGAGGTTGCCTCCTTCTTGGTGCATGAACTCTGGAAGTGTGACTGGGAACCGAGATGGAGAGAGGGGTCGCACTTGTGGCTGAAGCAATGGCGTTTGTACAATGTTGTACATGATGTACTCGCTCAGCAGCGGGAGGACTCATGGCGCTGGAGCACTTGCAGTGGGTACTGGCTATTGTGCTGACATTGATTCTACCCCTCGTCGCGCTCTTGGCCATTCGGGGTCCTGTTGATGGTGCTGGTGACACAACTGTGGGCTTCTGGGGTGCCAAAACAGCATCGGTAAACTGGTGTGAGAGGGACTATGCAGCAAGCTACTACATTGCTGAGCTTGCTAATTCTTTGACCTCCTTGTGCTTGGTTGCTACCGGAGTCTATGGCATCTGCGCTCATGTCACCTTGGTAGAGTGGCGCTTTCTCCTGGCTTTCTTTACGTTTGTTGTGATTGGACTGGGCAGCTTCGCATTTCATGCGACTCTGCTCCGAAGCATGCAGCTGCTGGATGAGCTCCCGATGGTGTGGGCAAACACAGTGTTCATCTACATCTGCCGTTCCATGAACGATACAAGAAACAGCTGCAGGATCGCCGAAGTGATTGTGCTTGCCTTGTTGACGGTGCTTGCAACTCTAGCAATTGCCACTTTTGACACAGAGAATCAAAACGTGTTCCTGCTTTGCTATGGAAGCGGCGTTCAGTATCTAGTGTGGAGTTCGTACCTGTTCTGCCAGAAATCCGCGAACATCACAGCGTGGCTGCTTTTCATAACTGCAATGCTGTGTTATGCTGGTGGTTTCTTGCTCTGGCTCATCGATCGGAACTTCTGCCATTCCGTGCGCCCCCTGTATCTGCACGTCTTTTGGCACTTCGGCGCTGATCTGGGTACCTATGCGGTAGTCCTGCTATGGATATGGATACGTTCCGAGGTGCTGGCGAGGAAGGTGGTGCTTCGGGGACGCAGCCTCTTGAGTTGGCACATTGCCGCTGCTCCGCCGGAATGAGCTCCCTAACACCCTAAGCTCTAGCCGAAAACAAAAGAAACAACGTTAGAACCGTGAGAAGGGGATAAGGGCGGGCCCAAGGATTCGGATGGTCTTTGCACTTGCTCCCCTAAACCACTTCCCTTCGTGTTTCTCTCAAAGTACTGGCCGCGCATCTGTCTGCAGCTCCAGGGGCTTCCAGGAATCTTAAAGTCTTAAACATAGCAGCAAGCATGGCACTGCAGCAAATCCCAGCAACGCAGTAAACAAAAACAAGGACTAAGCGTCCTTTAGTCTCAGTGTGCTTCATGCAGTAATTGCAGCGCTTTGCCCAGCATGGCGGATGCTGCCGATACAAGTCCATTGTGCTTGGCGAGGGCCGAGACACCCGAGACTGCTCTGGAGCGAGAGCTAATCCGGCTGAGCAGGCAGGTGACACTCCAAAGCCCACGTTGGGGAGAGCTGAGAAGCCCCGAGGAATCTCGATGGCATGTTCAGCCGACTGCTGGATGTCGAGAGGCCGGGTGTTGGTGCTGCAGAAGTGTACAGTGCAGCTCGAAGTGCTGGGAGTGGAGGCGACTGGCCCAGACGGAAGAGACCCAGCAGGACGGATGGCGGGCCCGAGCGTTTGGAAAGCTCGATCTGTCTTGGCAGGCACACGCGACGACGCTTCGGGATGTGCAGACTGTGCTGAGGAAGGCCTGTCTGCGTGACAGGATTCGCTTTGTGTTTGGATGGACACCCTGTTCGACTGAGGCTCCGGTTTCGGTTTTTGACAGCATGGACATGTGCACGATGTAGTCATGTAGTCCAAGCCCGAAATGGCAGACATCCTTGGGTCGGAGGCAAAGGGACTAGTCTTTACCGAGTCTTCAGTCGCATGTTGCAGCTGTGGCCGCAGCTGGTGCTTTTGAGCCATGGCCGATGCGCCGAATGAGATTCGGGGGCAGCCCCTCAGCTCGGGCGGAAAAGCTTCCGGTGAGGCACTGCCCAGAAGATGTTTGCCGGGGAATGTTGCATGTCCGCGCGACCTGTGACAATCGACTGTGCTCTGTTTGCAGGTGCTGGTGTCTTCTGTTGGGCTCAGCTTTTGGGGTGGCGTGTCCCCGAAGACCGGTGCCATCATCGATCGCCACCACCCTCTGCATGGGTCCAGTCTGCGGGACAAGATCTTTGTCCTGCCGGGTGGACGAGGCTCAGAGAAACGGAAAATGAAGCTTAACCAATGTACGTTTCTTGGCTGTCCCCCTACGAAGTGTGCAGAAGTGACAGCTGTCTCGCAGTGAGAGCAGCCCGGTACTGATTGTTGCCAGAATCGGGGCCAGGCTCCTGTACGGGCAGCCAGGCAACTTGGCGACAGTTGGATTCCGTGCGCAAGTGCCATTTGTAGAGGGAGAGAACAGCAACGGAAGTGTGCTCTTACCTGATGCTGCTCGATTTCTTCATTGGATCCAGATGTGCTTGGGAAGATCGTCGTTACCCTTTCACCTGGCATTTCTTTCGCCTCGACGGCATACTCAGATTGTTTGAAGAAGCCTTGGTTCAGTAAATGGTCGAGGTGCTAGAAAGACCCACAAATAGTCCCCATATCGATGCAAGCTACCGTCAACGCTGCTAAAGTTGCAGTGGTTGCGGCGCAGATTCTTGTATCCGCTGTGTTGGATGGAGAGCACGATGCTAATAAGACTCTGTAACCAACATACTTGCAGACTGCGCCCGTTTTAGAGCTGGGCTTCGCAGGTGATATTGGAGCTGCTCCTCAACGGCAACGGGCCCGTTCAGCTTGTTTTCTTGCCGTGCAAAGGGAGATAATCTGCATGCTTAGTCACTTCGACAAGATGAAACTCTACCTATGTCAAGACAGTGCCGGAAAGAACTCACACTGCAGCATCCGTGCGGAAGAGACATGGCGATCCCAGAAGCTGGAACATCGAAGAAGCCAGGTCGAAGCCCGCTGTTGCCAGGCCTGCTGCCATAGTGTTGCGAGACCCGGATGAGATCATCGCTCTCGGTGCTATCGTGGCAGAAGAGATGTTTGACGTTCGACTGCCGGTGATGAGCGTGGGAGATGCTGAGATGCACTGGTGTTGCTTTGTGGGAGACAGTGCGCGGAGGCATGAGAGTGGAAGATGCTAGGATGCCGGCTTCGCTCGCTTGCTATCCTCGAATGCTGGACACGCCATCCTTGAAGATGGTTCGTTGTTCCTGGGGCAGACTGTCACAGCGGGCCAAGCTCCGGCAGAGCGACTCCCAAGCGACGAGGCCGATTTTGCCAACGCTTCTACTCCTGGCATTCAGATTGACATTGTGACATGTTCTTGTGTTTGGCTCATGAGGTCCAGGTGGAGCTCAGTGCAGACGATCAGAGCATGCTGGCGGGAGTCGAGGGCCCCGCAAGACAAGCAGCGATGCGCAGGAGCCTCAGCCTCACGCGTGTGCTCATACGAAGGCCTCAGCATGTCTTGGGGCGAGGCATCATCATTCGCATGGCCAGGGTCTTTGGGGTGAAGGACTTGATCAGCGTCAGCCAGTCACACATCGATGGCTGTACTTACATCGGCCCTGCGAGCCTGAAGTTTGCAGATAAGCTTCGGAGTTGGGGCGCGGAGGTGCGTGTTCCGACAACTCTGAATGCCATTTCTGTGGACAGATTCAATTGGCGGACGCTTGGCGTCCCGGCAGATTCGGGAGAGCCTGCGGAGGCTCTCGCGAATGCCTACGTCTCGATGGGCGCTGCGCCGAGCTTTACGTGTGCGCCCTACCTGTTGGAGAACGCCCCGCGTTTAGGGGAGCAGATTGGATGGGGGGAATCCAATGCCGTGGTCTTTGCCAACAGCATTTTGGGAGCACGACGCTTGGCTTTGCAAGCGGGGCAGTGCAGTGCACACGATACAAGGCAGATGTCCGAGGAACCCAGAAGTACGCGGACTTTCTGGATGCATGTGTAGCGATTACCGGCCGAGCGCCTCGTGCTGGCTGTCATGTTGACGGGGACCGGATGCCGGAGCTCATCCTGGCAGCCCCAGAGCTGGATCCAGGCCCGGAACCCGTGTTTTTTTTTTTGCTGTCGTTGCCTTTATGTTTTTTTTGTTCTCGTTGCGCGGACCCAGGAAGCCGGTGAGTGAGTGAACCCCGGTGCCCGCACCGACAGCAAAAAAAAAACGCGCCCCCGCACCGACAGCAAAAAAAAAACGCGCCCCCGCAACGACAGCAAAAAAAGAAACGCGCCCCCGCACGACAGCACAGCGCGCCCGCCGACAGCAAAAAAACGCGCCCCCGCAACGACAGCAAAAAAAAAAACGCGCCCCCGCAACGACAGCAAAAAAGAAACGCGCCCCCGGGGACGACCGCCCTCGCAAACAACAGTATCGGGAACGACACAATATCTGGGCGTTTAAGTTGCTCATTTAAGGTTTCCATCAAGTGGTAGTAGTAGTAGTAGTAGTAGTAGTAGTAGTAGTAGTAGTAGTAGTAGTAGTAGTAGTAGTAGTAGTAGTAGTAGTAGTAGTAGTAGTAGTAGTAGTAGTAGTAGTAGTAGTAGTAGTAGTAGTAGTAGTAGTAGTAGTAGTAGTAGTAGTAGTAGTAGTAGTAGTAGTAGTAGTAGTAGTAGTAGTAGTAGTAGTAGTAGTAGTAGTAGTAGTAGTAGTAGTACTAGTAGTACTAGTAGTACTAGTAGTACTTGTAGTACTACTAGTACTAGTAGTACTAGTAGTACTAGTAGTACTAGTAGTACTAGTAGTACTAGTAGTACTAGTAGTAGGGAGGGCGTACCCCCAACCCCCCCGCTGTTTTAAGCCGTCTGCAAGCTTGCGTGATCTTGCGTGACAGCATAGAGGTCGTTTCGGGGAACCCGCCCTGCATAATATGATATGTGCGTTTTGGAAACAACGCCATTCACCCTGCGAAAAAATTGTTTGCAAATGGGAAGCCTGTCCCGCACGTGCGAGAGTGCCAAGCTTGCTTGACAGCATATATATGCGTTTTATTTAAAACCAAGCAAACCAAGCATGCGAGCATCCTGACTGGCTGCCCCCCTTAAACCCCGCCCCCCCCCCCCGCCCCGCCGCCCATATGATTTTGTTGTAAACCAGCCATGCGAGCATCGTGATTGCGAATGGGGGGGGCTGCCCAACCCCCCCGCTGTTTTCAGCCGTGTGCAAGGTTACATGACGGCAGAAGTCGTTCTTGAAACCCGCGATCTTTGAGATGTGTCTTTTAGAATCCAATACCATTTTTTACCTTGTGACAAGGGTGTTTGCAATCGGGGAGCCTGCGCTGGGCATGCGAGAGTGGCACTTGGTTGACAGCACATATGCGTTTTTTGTTTCAGCCGACCACGCGACCATCATAGAATCGCAAATGTGGGGGGCTGCGCCCCCCTCCAACGCCCCCGCTGTTTAAACCAGCCATCGTGATTGAAAAAGGGTTGGGGCTGCCCCCCCCAACCCCCCCGCTGTTTTAAGCCTTGCGCAAGGTTGCATGACAGCCTGCGAGTCGTTCTTGAAACCCGCGATGCCTGAGATGAGTCGTTTAGAAAACACCATTCACCTTGTGACAAGGGTGCTTGCAATTGGGAACCTGCGCCGGGCATGCGAGAGTGCGCACTTGCTTGACAGCACTGTTTCTTTTTTTTGCTTTAACCGACCACGCGACCATCATAATTGCAAATGTGGGCGGGGGGGGGCTGCCTGGCCCAACCCCACCGCTGTTTCAAGCCGTCTGCAAGCTTGCGTGACAGCATAGGGGTCGTTGCTGAAACACACCCTGCATAATATGTGCGTTTTTGAAACAACGCCATTCACCTTGCGAAATATATGTTTGCAAATGGGAAGCCTGTCCCGCACGTGCGAGAGTGCCAAGCTTGCATGACAGCATATATGCGTTTTGTTTAAAACCAAGCATGCGAGCATCCTGACTGGCTGCCCCCCTTTAACCCCGGCCCCCCCTCCCGCCCCGCCGCCCATATGATTTTGTTGTAAACCAGCCATGCGAGCATCGTGATTGCGAATGGGGCCCGCTGTTTTAAGCCGCGCGCAAGGTTGCATGACAGCCTATATAGGAGTCGTTCTTGAAACCCGCGATGCCTGAGATGAGTCTTTTAGAAACAAAACACCATTCAGACATCGAAATCAAATCAGCCAAAATTGTGCACGGCACCACATGGGGCGACACATTCAGCCGACATCCTGTGTAAATAATAGGACGTGGGGGCCCAAATAAGAACAAAAAGAACCAAAAACAACAAAAACGGACCGAAGTAAAACTCCACCCGTACTATAGTAGTAGTAGTAGTAGCAGCAGGAGTAGTAGTGTAGTATAGGTAGGGCGATGTGGAGGTGAGCTGAGAAGACGTATCTTTCTTAGAAGGAATATATGGGTGGAATATGCCTTGATTCTGTCATACAGACATGTTTCCGACCGAATGCTTGTCTGTAGTATACGTATTCCGTCATCACTATTACGGAAGACCTGCGTTTGAGGGGTGTGTAGTACGTGCGAAGCAAGAAACCCCGGCACGCGCAACAACACAACGGCGAAACAAAAGCAGTAGTTTTGCTTCGCATCGCTGTAAGGTCCAACCTTTCGATACTCAACTGTCACCTGCTATGCAGTCAGTCGACGCTCCATGCAGGAGCCAAACAAGTAGTAGTAGTAGTAGTAGTAGTTGTTGTTGTCGTAGCAGTAGTAGCAGCAGTACTAGTAGTCGTAGTAGTAGTAGTAGTAGTAGTAGTAGTAGTAGTGCTAGTAGTAGTAGTAGTAGTAGTAGTCGTCGTCGTCGTAGTAGTAGTAGTAGTAGTTGTTGTTGTAGTGGTAGTAGTAGTATAGTAATAGTATAGTAGTAGTAATAACAATGACGATAAAAAACAAGCGCCCGGGGAGCGCAACGACAGCGAAAAAAAAACGCGCCCCGCAGGCACGACAGCCAAAAAAAAAGGCGCCCCGCAGGGACGACAGCAAAAAAAAAAACGTGCCCCGCAGGGACGACAGCAAAAAAAAGGCGCCCCGCAGGGACGACAGCAAAAAAAAAAAACGCGCCCCGCAGGCACGACAGCAAAAAAAAAAAAAAAAAAACGCGCCCCGCAGGGACGACAGCAAAAAAAAAAACGCGCCCCGCAGGGACGACAGCAAAAAACAGAAACGCGCCCCGCAGGGACGACAGCAAAAAGAAAAACGCGCCCTGCAGGGACGACAGCAAAAAAAGAAACGCGCCCCCGCCACGACAGCAAAAAAAAAAACGCGCCCCCGCAACGACAGCAAAAAAAAAAACGCGCCCCGCCACGACAGCAAAAAAGCAACGACAGCAAAAAAAAAAAACACTTTTACCGATCCAGGCCCTCGGGCAACGAGTAGTTGCTGGCGCGCTGCTCTTTCATCTTGTTCCGGGGGTCGCGTGGTAGGTTTTCTTTGACGGGGGGAGGTTTGTGGGTGGGTGATAACGTCCGTTCCCACGCTTGAAAAACTCGTATCTTACAGCAGTCTTGCTTCTTTGCATAACATACTTCAGCAGGATGCTCGATGGTGCTCGATGTGTCTGGAACAAGACGCTCTGTCACGAGCATTCGGCACTGTCGCGAACATATCAGAAATGCTGGTACTTACAGCATTGTTTGTTCTTCCCACAACATACTGCACGGGCTTGTTGGTTCTGTCACAAGCGTCCTTTCTTTATGCGAAGATGCGTTATGTCCATTCACCAACGCTATAACCCACACCAGTTTATTTAAAAGTGGGTTCATGTGCCATAGAACCACCAGGGTCCTGGTGCGTGCGTGACCGAGTAGTTAGCCGGCGGGACCGTGAAGCGGGAGCAAGGTAGGTGACGTGTCTCGGTGAGGCCAGCTGGATGATGCATTTTATCCAACCTTGGGATACCTTTGTGGCCTTCGATCTCCCCACTCAGTGCCGGCCATCACGGGTCTTGAGCACTTGGCACCGACGCGGGACGACTTGAAGGCGTTTGACTGTTGACTGCGTTGGCTGTCTGACTGACTCTGACTCTGACTATTCTTTGCATTTCTTTGGGGGATCTTCGCCCTCAGGCCTTCAGCGCGGCCTTTGGAACCTGCTCCTCGGCGGCGATGTTCCACCTCGTGGGCCTCACTCCCGAGGAACGGAAAGCCCTGGATCTGCTGGGATTTTCATTTGAGCCTCAGGAAGGGTTGGATGTTCAACCATTCTGAGACGTCGTCTAATACTGCGTTAAGTCACAGATGCAAGCTCCTGTGGTTGGCTGTGTGCATTTTGTTGCAAGCAGGCACCCGACTTGCAGAGCGTGCTCCCGGAAAGGCAGCTGGAGGCGAGCATCCTTGCTCCATCCTTGCTCTTGCAGGAAGAACAAGGAGGGCTCTCATGTGGCAGGTCATACAACTTGGGCAGGACGACCTCAAGTCTGCTTGGACAGACCTCGCAGCCCAGCGGCAGATACCCACTGTACGTGATCAGCCTTGCTCCACGCAGAGATATTGCAGGACGCCGACGCCGATGGTGCGAGCGAAGTTGATCTCGTCGCGCTCGGGAATCCGCATTTCTCGCTGGAAGAGCACCGACGCCTTGCCGAGCTGTGCCAGGGACGCACGAAGCATCCACTTGTATCTGTGGTCCTCACCGCCGGCCCGCAGGCCAGAACACACGAACAAGAATCAGTGAAGGGGGCCCACGTGCCCATGTGTGCCGTGCAACTGTTGCAGGTTCTGGCCCAAGCGCGTGACCGAGGATACTCAGCGACTCTGGAGGAGTTTGGTGTTCAACTGGTTAGCGACACCTGCTGGTGCATGTTGGGAGAGGCTGCCGGACGGAGACATACGAAGAACAGAAGTTCTAGCACGGCAGAGCGCAGATGTCAGCAGAGTCTGAGCTCCAGTCGGCCACAGGTGGTGCCAGCACCGGCCTCTGTGCTCCCAGCCTCAAGCCGAGTGTTGATGACAAATTCGGCCAAGTATGCACATTACGCTCCAGGCGTTTGGGCTTCCGAGTGTCTGCTAGTACAGGTTGTGAGCATTTGTCAGCTGTCAGGCCTGGTGGGTCGCAAGGTTCGCTTTGGTTCTCTGGCCGGTTGCGTCGATGCTGCCTGTGGACGCACAGTCGGTGCTGGGAAGCCTGCCTGGCTGATGCCGGGAGGCTGGCCCTTCGTTATCCGGATGACAGATGAAGTATCAGACCAGAGAACGACAGCGAATGTCCCGAAAGCAAATCGAGCAGCAAATATCACCAAGCATCATCTCATCCATCCGTCCGTTCATCCATCCATCCATCCATCCGTCCGTCCATCCATCCATCCATCCATCCATCCATCCATCCATCGCCATCCATCTGTACATACAAGGAACCCGTCCACACACCCTTTTTACAGGCCCTGAGACTGAGCCAAACTTCTTTCCCCCTTTGTATTGGCGGGATTCAGGACCATGGCGGCGATGCCTCCTCCCATCTACGAGCAGATTCTTCTCCTCCCGCAATGTAGGGATGGGATTCAGCACCAGCGAAAGTGCTTCCAACGTGAGCTCCCCTCCAAGGGCATCGTCGCGGCTCCCGATCACGAGGATGACCAGGACCACGACGATCGCCGTGACCGACGGCCAGGACGACCACCAGACCACCAGCGGCCCAACCGTTTCCCCCAATTACTGGTCGGATCCAGGAGCACGGCCACAAGAATTCCCCATGTACTGGTGGCATTCAGAGACATGACCAACATGTTTCCTCAAGGTATTGGCGGGGTTCAGACATGTCGAGGCTAAACCGTCAATGCGGCACCAACATCATCACATCATGCTCCAGGGAAAGCCCTTCGCCACGTTTTCCGGAAATTCACTGCGCATATGGCCTATATGGCGAATGAAATATCAAGATTAGCATGGTTCTTGAAATTACTCACATGTACTCGTGAGACTCTCTTTTGAAGATTCTTGCTTTGATCGCTGCTTCAGGAATGCAGTCTCGGGCAAGAGCTTACCTGGCCTGGGCAGCAAACCGGGCCCTGCGATGCCGGGGAAGATAAAAGGTAGCATGCGACTTGCGACGCTGCACTCAGATTCCCCATCTCTGTTTGTCACTGCCTCTTTTGTCAAGCCAGGTGTGTAGGGTATTGACGGATTCGATCCACTGCTAGGTTCCTGGCGATGACTGGATGAGGGAAGCCGTGGCCCCAGTGGTCCAATACGGTGTGGACAGGGTTGTAGATGCGTGGATTGAGATCAGGCAGAAGCACGGCAGGAACGAGCTTCTCAGTCGTATCTGCGTGTGCAGGAGCAGGCCAGGACAAGCAGCCACAAAGGATGCTGTGCATCATGCCACCGCATGGTTCAGTTCTTGAGCTGTTGCTTGATGGGCTGGGCAAGCTATGTGTAGCTTCGCTGCACAAGAAAGCTGCACGCTGTAGCCGTGAGCTTCACGACGCTGCGTCGGTGTCGGAGAGGTTCATGCGCTGGTGGACTTCTTGGCGCAGGCGACGGGGAACTGACGGCGGACGGCGATTAGCTGATCAGCTGCAGCGGCTGTGAGAGCATTTTGAAAGCAGGAGCATGTCCGGCAGCCCCAAGGCACCGCCTCGGCCCGCGCCTCAAGTCGCGCGCGAAGAGATTGTGTTGCCAAGGCCGAGAAGGCCCACGGGAGAAGGACCTGGAGCCTGAGGGTGAGGGCCTTCATGTCGCTCCCACAGCTCTGCCTTGAAGGAGATCCCTCGTGCGACGTGGCGAGCTCAAAGTGACGACGGCTGTGCAGGTGTGCGGGCAGTGCCGAGGTCCGGCAACAAGCCGAACCCACAAGCCGTTGCGAAACTGGCTCAGCGGGTGAGCAGCCCAGCATGCAAGATCATTCAAGGATGTTCGAGGCGGATCGTGACAACGCATCGGAAAGTCGTGACCCTGCAGGCTGAACTCGCCGAAAATCCGATGCTCAGCGAGCGGTTGAGGCGGATCTTCAGCAAGACGCCAAGTCTGGAGTCCAGAGACTCTGAAAGGCACGGCCAGGTTGGACACGCGGGCACATGTCCTAAGGTCCCCCCTCGCGGGGAAACTCCGTGGACAGCCCACCACGGGAAGACTTCGTAAGCGGGTGCCTACGAAGAGCGGTCCTGAGAGATTTCGAAGTGGCTACCTGAAGAGAGGCCTGAGTTTGATTGGCAGGTGAGGAACAATATCGCACAGCACAGGTGGTCAAGGTGCGATCGGCCGAGGATTCGAGTCTCTTGGTGCATGCGACCTCAGCCAAGATTGCTCCGCCCTACGCTGGAGCCGAAGGGGCTACGCCACGTGACCGTGAGACACAGGTGCCGCCCGCATGAAAGACTCCCAGTCAGAGGCATTTCGGAAAACTGTGCAGGCTGCCGAAACACGAGCAGGCGCGGCTGGACCTCCAAGCACAGCCCGCCTTAGTTTGCGGCGCTTCTGGAGGCAGCCATTCTTCATGTCGTGGGATCGGCCGAGCGGGCAGCAAGGGCTCAATCACTCCAGGCCCCAGGCCGTTTAAACTTTTCAATCACACTTCCTGACTCCAGAACCGCCACGCAGGCCCAGCAACGGCACCGGCAACTCCGGCAGCATCGCCGCAAGCTGGAGGCGGTTGCCTCGAGGAGGGAACCACAGCCGCTCAACAAGCACTCGTAGGCTTGGTGGCACGAGCGGCACCTGCCACGGCTGCGCCAGCCCGGCGAGATGTGTAGTCGCAGAGAGCTTCTTTCGCTCCGCTTGAACGCCAGGCAGGCCAACGCATGGGTTGCCGTCTCAACCGGGATGCAAGTAACGAAGAAGCACAAGCTCGTAGATTTAACTTTAGGTGCAGCGGGCCACGAGCGGACACACCACTCCCACAGCTTCGGGGTTGAGGCAAGTGACTGGAGGCAAGCCCGTCGCTTCATGCTGTTTACCTTGGGTGACCTTAACGCATTACAGTTTGATCAGGCACTCCTGGTGCCCCTCTGACCATGGTCACCCCGCAGTTTGGGCAGTCGGAGACTTTGTCGGCAGGTCGCCATCAATAAGTTACAGAAGTGATGCTCTTCAGGGTCTTTGTGGCCAAGCCGGCCAACGCTCCAATCGTGGCTGTTGCCGTCAGCTC